TGGATGAGGACTTGATGGGTAGATGAGGAGTGTAGGATGGATGAGGACTTGATGGGTAGATGAGGAGTGTAGGATGGATGAGGACTTGATGGGTAGATGAGGAGTGAAAGATGGATGTGGACTTGATGGGTAGATGAGGAGTGAAAGATGGATGAGGTCTTGAGGGTTGGATGAGGACGAAGCGAACAAAAATAATTCTAGCAACGCTCGCAGAAGTAAGTTGTGAATATATCGCTTCGTTCTTATTTAGTTCAAGACCGGTATTTATTAAAAAATTTATGCGTGGAAAACCTGCTAAAACTTAGCGTTTAGCGCATTAATTAAAATCGAAGCGGACCGAAAAATTCTGTCGATGCTAACATCAGCGTAATTTCAATAAACATCTAAATTTTTAATCTGGTTCTGATCGGCTTCGATTTGACAAACTTTCGCGTGGGAAACATGAAAAGGAAATTCGTTCCAAGTGTCAAAGTGGTTGGTGGAATGAGTGATATAGTGATGAGAAACGTGGCGGAGGTTAGCGCAGGTTAGCGTGTTATGCGGAGGTATTCATGTTACGGATGCGTGAGATGAAGTAACGTAGCGCAGGTTTCCTTAGTTGCTGTGACACTGCACTGCCAGGGATCTCTGGCTCTGCAGCTGTTGCTGTGATTTCTGCTGTTGTTCGTGCAATGTCAACAGCTGCTGCATTTGTTGTTGAATCTGATCTACTTGCCTCTGTAGGCCTAAAAAAGGGCTGCGCTTGATATCGAGTCCTGTTTGTTCTTCTTCACTCTGGTAGATTGTGTTGGCCGGTGCGGAAATTTTTGGGACTGCTCTGTACCTTTGATTTCGATAGATTCGCCCTTCCCAGAACTGATTTTTTTTAACCATGTAATTTCTTTCAGATGTTTTGGGTTTGGCAGTATAATCTATCCTGTGTTCCGAGGAGGAACTATCAGGGTCACGTCTCTCTTCGGCATTGCCACTTAACTGCAGGTTGAGTTTAAGGTGGTGAAACCGACAAGAATCACGTTTGCAAGTTACTTTTTTGATAGTATTCCAGCATAGGAACGGATGGTAATATTGACAGTCTCTCCCTTTTTTGCATCCGCGTTGGTTTTTGCTTCCAAATGTTGCAAATTTTTGACAGATCTTAGGGTGAAAATAGTTACAGTTTATTTCTTCATTCTCCCCATCGCACTTGCCCTGAAGATATCTCCAGCAAACGCGTTTCTTAACAGTTAAATGCTTCTTGTTCGAGGCATTTAAAGAGGAGAGGGGAGGGGTAACACTGCGGTCAAGGGTCGGGGTAGGCGGAGTACAGTGTCGGGCAGCAGTGAGGGATGGGGGGGAGGAAGTAGAGGGAGCGAGGGGAGTTGAGGTCAAAATCATTTAGTAGTTTGACAAGCAAATGTATGACGTCACTATTTCAACCATCAACGAACACATGGAACTAAAACAAAGCTTAATATAAAGGAAAAACTAGAGAGGTGTCAGAATTACCCATGATGTCGGAATATACCGCGTTTACTCTATGACTTCATTGACTTGATTTGGAAACATTCCAGCTTTTTGTGCAATGAGCAGTGCACATTTGTAATTTCCTTTAAATTAAACAAAATTCTTCTTATTTATGTTATGAGTTTTCTAGGGTAAACTGGAAAACTCTTAGTTTATGGTATCTGAAAATGATTTCTGAACTCGAAAAATGAATTCACTGTTTAAATTTTTGATTGCCTGAAAGGGAACCTAATTATTTGTGGCCTATCAAATAAATTATAGTTTGAAAATAGATTAACAGCTCAAAATTGTTTATTGTTTTATGGCAGATTTTTCTTTTTATTTAATTGATGAACTATGACAATTCAGAAAGTATAAACATTGGAGCTTTTTGCATATGTTTGTAATTTCCTTTAAATTAAACAAAATTCTTCTCAATTCTGTTTTGACTTTTCTAGGGTAAACTGGAAAAATCAGTTTAAGGTATATATTATTATACTAGTCCTTAATAGCTGTTATTACCTTGCTCCTGTAAAAATGTTAGGAAGGTTCAAATGTACTTGTGAAAGTAGAACATTTTAATTTCCATGCCAGCTGAAATATTAAGCAAAATTTTCCAATAATTTTAAATAAAAAAATTAGTTTCTGAGCAATTTTTAAAAGTTGCAGGCAAAAATATACAATTTTTCTTATATTCAATGGAAGTCATTGGGCAAAGGCCTTAATTTTTGTCTCATTTATGACCAGCTTATGCTCAATCTGCCAAAATGCATAGTGGGAAATCAGAGATTTTTATAATGAGTTCAAATTTAATTTCCTAATATACTCAAAGTTTAAACTAATATCATATGTATGGTAATGCTGGTAGGTATCTATAATCCATGATGCTTTACTGGTCTACTTGTAGGATGCTAAAATGAACTTGTGAAAGAGTCTAAAAAGTTTTTACTTTGCCACTAGGTGGCCCAATAGCTGCTGTAAAGCAGGCCTTTTAAGATAATTTTTGGTAGAAGTACCTGTGTTTTTTTTTTTGTGCTTCCCATCAAGCTACCTACAATTTTAATTGGTATACCTGTTTTAGGTAGTTGCAGGATTGTTTCATGAGCATTAATGAATATTTTGCATATATGTCTAATATTTGTTGATTGGCATGTAACCTGTCACCAAGCTTCATTTAGTATTACAGCACATGTCTATATTGATCATTTGCTAATGGCTTCATTGATGGTAAATTGCCTTCTATGCTAAAGTGTAAATGGGATCATGTTTGCAAAATTCTACCTTTGGTGGTACCGTAAAATGGGGTAACTTAGACCACTTTTATTTTTATAAATGATGCAATTTTTTTACTAGCTATATTAAACTTGAATTGAAACATGCAAAGTACAGGTCTATACTCTAGCTTCACTCACCATAAATTGCTGGCTCCTTTGTCAAATAGTTTTTGAGTTGTGGGGGTTTTTGTTAAAAAAACGAAAAGTGGTCTAAGTTACCCCGCCGGTCTAAGTTACCTCATTTTACGGTACTTACTTTACAGTCTGGCTGCCCTAGGTGCAAAGGGATTGTTCTGGGGTGACAGTTTTCTTTGCTGCTATTGCTATGCTTGGGAAAAATGTTTGGTCTGGTTGCAGTGTTGGTGATTAAAAAAAAAATTAAAAAATCACTGATTTTTTTTTTGCATAATTTTTTTTATTTATTTGATTTTTTTGCCTTTTTGTCTTTTTGAAATATTATTTTTTATGTTGCAATTAGCCTACTAACAATATCGGTATATGGATGGCTAAAAAAGGCAGTTATTGCCTTCAAGAATGGCCAAGGTTGTGTTTACCACTTTGGGACTTTTGGGAAACCAATTATTGATAAGTCTATTCATTAGCTTTGTAAAGTTTGTATGGAGCAAGGTAACGAGCTAAATATTGACCATTTAACTGCCTCCAATATGCAACAACACCTCAGGAATGCTGATCTTCTAAACATTGAAGAGTCACATTACAGATAGGTAGCTGATAGCACAGTCAACAGTGCACAGCACTATCAATAGATCTACTAGTTTTATGTCCTATAAATCTACCAGTCTTCTCTAAACACAATTGACTAGTAGTGACTAAGTTAACTGTTCCCATTTGATTCAGACCAATAAACCAATGCTAAACATAAACTGAACGACAACCAAACAAACCTCAAATGACTTGAAACGAGACTTATGTTATGAGAAAAGCTAACACTGTTTGAAATAAACATGTACACAATTCAAATATTTTATTTCCATTCACTGCATTTAATTGTTTTATGTATAGGTAGTTTTATAACTGTAATTGTTTTGTTTCTAGTTATAAATTCACATATTTAAAGATTGAAATTAAATATTTTAATTAGAGTACTCATATTAGGGTGAAAATCTTTCTAAATGCCTAAAAGGTCAATACAATCTCAACCAACCCTTCTTATGTAAGCTAGCTAACACATGCAAATTGTATAATGTAATTAATATACCTATAACAAATACTGTAGTCGAATAGTTAGTTAAAGACTACTTATAGCCTTAAAAGAATTAGCTAAGCTGCTAGCTATGTACAATGTATTGCTACACTTGATGCCTCTGTACCAAAAATATACAATTCATTGAAACGCAATACACACTAAAGGCAACAGGTTTAAATTCCAATTTGTCATAGTACATTTATACTAAACCATGAATAACAATACCTCAAAACAAATTAAAGTCTGCCACTTGATATATATAAATATACAAAAAATTAATAAAAAAATCATGATTTTTTATAAAGAAATCAAATCATTTAATCACATGCTTTAATCAGTTTGATTTAATCATTGCCAACCTTGTCTGGTTGTATGGGCAGTTCATGCCCATCAGACCTCTAAAGAAGTACTAGTCAAGCGATTGTCATAAGTTCAATTTTTGCTTGAAGACAAGGAATACGGTACCTATGCATCAAAGATTTTTAGTCAATAGTTCTTATTCAATGCTATTCGCATTATAAATAAGTATCTATTGGGAGACAGAACTCGGGTACAATGGCTAAACATACTATACATGTGCCATTGTTGCTTGCTAGTTTAGGGGTAGTTAGTAAGTCTGTAGCATGGACAACTGTAGAAAATTATACTTATTGGTTCTTATGCTATAAATTGTATGCTTGAAATCTGAATTTTTTGGTAAGTGTTTAATTGGCTGTTATTGCTTTCATGCTAACAGAAGAAGTTATGCATCCAAAGCCTCAGGTATGTGGTTGCCTCATCAATTTATTATATAATATAATAAAATAAAAATATAAGTATACCTATATTATAATTATCTTTTTGATAAAAGCTTTAGCAACACCAACATATATATCAGTTTATATATATATCCTGAAAAACTTGTGTGTTTTTTTACTTTGGGCGTGCCAAACTTGGTTTTAACTCTTGGTTTTAACACTTGGTTTCAATTGGAGTGACTTGTAAGGTTCTGTGGGTTATAACTGCTGCAGACTATGATAAATATTTCTATATTTTTCAGATAGAATAAAGTATACGTATGTGTGCCATGTCATCTGCTGTGAGTGCCTCTGCTTCCATGCTCAATGGAGCGGCTACACTATCTAATTCTAAGACTAATGCTGCTAAGAATAAGTACACACTGTCTGATCCAAGCTCTGCCCTGGCTGCCTCCAATTCTACCTCACCACTACAGATCTTTGTAAGGGCCAAGAAGAAGATCAATGACATCTTTCAGGAGATTGAAGAGTATGTTGTTGAGACTGGCAACTTTATTGCAGGTGTGTTCTATGTCTTCTTGACTCATATTTTAATAAATCTTGTAGGAATTGAAGGTTTTTAAATTTAAAAAATGCAAGGCATTCCAATTTCCAATCTAGGTAAGGTTTATATAGGTACTGTGTTTATGCTGAAAAGGGTTTACATGCTTTGTCTATTAAATTTACTTCAATTTGAGGCTATGATTATGCATTGCTTACCTGGAAAAAATATGATGGCAGAAATATGAAACTCTATTACAGTAGTATTTCCTTATTAATGTAAATAAATATAGTTACCATTACCTATCTAAGTAAGAAAAATGAAAGACAGACAGTGAAATTTTTTTTCATTTCCTCATTATTTATCTTCATTGTTATTCACAGCATTGAGCAAAGATGGAGTTCTTGTGACAGAGAAGGAAGTGGTGACCATGGATGGATATTTTAACAAGGTATCAGGCATCAAAGAAGTTCTTGCCAGAGATCATATGAAGGTGAGCATTTAAAATAACAATAGAAAATTCCAAGGTTAGTAGTATATATTTTGCATTTGAATAGTAATGCTAATATACCATCAAATGGGGTAGCAAGGGACAGGCAGGGTAAATTGGGGACAGTTCTTTGTTGTGGTGTAGAAATTTTATAGCAGAAAAACTAATTAAAATATTTCAAAATTAAAAATAGTGGCATAAACTTCAACATTTTTCTCATCTATATTGCATAAAATAAGTTAGAAAATCATAGATTTACTAGCTCTAAAAAAATGTCTGAATAAAATTTTGAAAAATAATATTTTGAAGTATAGTAGTGTACTTCTGCTATGGCCTGTAGTAAAAAAACATTCCCTGTATTGAAAAATTATGCTAAAATAAGTTGCAGGCAGGTGTTAGCTTTGAAACTTCATTGATGGAATTCACATACCTCAATCCAAAACAAAATTGCAGCCATTTCTGCAAGATTGATAAGGGACATCCCCCCAGGGTAATATGGGACACCCCTAAGAATGCATTTACAGCAGAACCTCGGTTAGCTAGGGCTTCAGATAATGAAAAAAATTGCTTAATGAAGAGGATTTTGATTATATTTACCTTGCATAGCAAAAGTTGCACTTCATGAAAAATTAATGCATCATCGGCCATCGCACATTTGTGCTTAGAATGTCATAGATAAAATTGTGCACCAGGCAACAAGGTTAATTGTTGTCAATGGCATGGACGTTTTTTAGGAGGTGTAAAACTGCTAGGTATAGAATGGAAAAAATAGTTTTTGTTAATGAAAAATGGATTCGGTGAAAGGAAATCACAGAAAATATCACTTATTCAACATCTATATCCCCTACAAATATAGAGGAGGACATCGGAGTACTGTTAGTTATGAAAGAGTACACTCTGCATGCTTCAGATGTTTTAAAATTAAGTTTTAGGTCAAGTGTCCTGAATTACCCCATTCCCAAGAGTACATTCGGGACTCTTTCCTTTTGTGTGTGGCACCTTACAAATAGCATATGGAAATTTTTTAGAGATGCCATACAAATGCCCTTGCAAAGACCTTTAAAATGAGCCCAAACTTGTTTGGGAAATGTTTCATGGTAAGAAGTTATGAAGGAATAACAAAAAAATCTTCCCATATTACTCCGTTTGACACACAAATTGATTTTTACTACTTTGCAGTCATGAATTGCAACCCAATTATGCTCTTGATTCAATCCATAGGTAGCAGAAGTTGGAATTTGTTATTAGTATTTTCTGTGTAGTACCAATAGTTTTATTGTCAAAGTTTTTTGGATTATTGTTGCTCTTTACAGGTTGCATTTTTTGGGCGCACATCAAACGGCAAGAGCTCGGTCATCAATGCTATGCTTGGCGATAAAATTCTTCCCTCTGGTATTGGTCACACAACAAACTGCTTCCTGCAGGTATGACGGATTTTTATATAGCATTCCTCTTAGATTTTTTGAAGCAAGTCCAATTCATGATAGGTGAGAAAATTTACGTCTTGTTTTAAATGAAATCCATTTATATTTCATCAATATAGTACGTAATACAGAACTGCAAATTTTTGCAGACTGTTTGAGCATTCCACCAATTCTCTGTTTTATTGTGTTTTGAATCCAAAAATTAAATGTTTTTTTTACTTGGATTCAGCATTTTCTGAAAATTTACAGAATAAAGTCAAATAAGCCATTAATTAAAAAAATTTTATTCCAACAGTTGCATTGGAATAGGTACAATTTTTTAAACTAAATAAGCTCTTAGAATCATAGCTCACCGAATCTTATTATATTTTGAATTGACACATGAAACCTTCTGCATCAATGCTACAAAATGAGTTCTATTCTACAACCAAGAAATGATAATCCTGAATGATTTACTGAGAGACTTGGTAAATGTTCTCATCATTGCATTTCCATTTAATTAATACTATGTAACAATTTTCCTAACTGATTAACCTGTTGATTGAATTAGTTGAATTGTTTGCAATGAAGGTTGAGGGAGATGAGAGCAATGAACCATTCCTGACAACGGAGGGTAACGCAGAGCGACAGAGCGTCAGTGGCATAGGGCAGCTGGCACACGCGCTCTGCAATAACAGACTTGGCGACTCGTCACTCGTCACCATCCACTGGCCCAAGACTCGGTGCCAGCTCCTCAGAGATGACGTTGTGCTTGTTGACTCCCCTGGCATTGATGTCTCTGAGTCCCTCGATGAGTGGATAGACAAACACTGTCTTGATGCTGATGTCTTTGTGCTCGTGTCTAATGCTGAGTCCACTCTCATGAATACGGTGAGGGACTGGTGCCCGTGTGCTCAAAATACTGTGTTCTGTAATAGGGATACATGTCTCTTAAGTATACTACGATGGATTCATAGCATTATCCCATTGATGCCGGTCTATATGCTGAAAATACTGTTAAATAGGGGTACATGTCACTAATTATACTACGATGAAGCCAGAGCATTAGCTTTAATAATATTCAAAGGTTCGGGTGAATCTGACAAAATATTATTGGTTGGTGAAATATATTCTTGTTAACTTCCATAAAAACATTCAACAACTTTCAGTTCAGAGTCTAACTTGTTCCAAGGAGCATTAATTTCAGTAATATTCGGGGAGAATTTTTCAAATCTGCAATGCTGTTTTGGGCCTTATTCTGATCCTGAATTTCGTTTCCAGGAGAAGAATTTCTTCCACAAAGTGTCCCAACGTTTGTCCAAGCCCAACATCTTCATCCTTCAGAACCGCTGGGATGTGGCCGCCTCAGAACCTGAGTATCTTACTGAGGTATGGATGAGCAATATGCATGCAACTACAAGATGCAAAACAACGAGAGGATGCATATACAGTTATACACAAAACGTCTTGCTGACAGACATTGGTGTATGCTCTACAGCGTCCATGACAGACATTGGTGTATGGTATGCTCTACAACGTCCATGACAGACATTGGTGTATGCTCTACAACGTCCATGACAGACATTGTTGTATGCTCTACAACGTCCATGACGGACATTGGTGTACGCTCTACACCGTCCATGACAGACATTGGTGTATGCTCTACAACGTCCATGACAGACATTGTTGTATGCACTCTAAATACCTCACTCTGACTCATACGACGGACGGAACTTACACTCTAAGCATAAAATGGAACGTTGCCAGATTATCTGTGAGATCAGTTGAATCATCTGTGTATAAATTTGTCATTTTCTGACGGGGAAATTTTTATAAAAATGCACCTTCTCTCATAACTTACTTCTATAATTTACATGCATTAGATTCCTTCTATTACCTGCTCAGGTTTTACAGTTCATGGCTTCATGCCATTACTACAGTAAAAAGTTTTTCACGGCAACGATTCTTTATGGAACTAAATCTATAAAAAATCTGCTAGCGAAGACTCTAAATGCTGATCCAAATTCTTACTGACCTAAAAAAGTTGTGGGTGTCTAGCTGAAATTTCCCGATTACTACTCGTTGTATAAAATAATGTTAAGAAATCTTACTGTCAACTTCAGCATGAGTACACTGGTCTTGCCAAGTTTTAGTTATTTTGATGCTGAATTTGATAGATTTTGACTAAAAATACTGAAGGCTGTTTGTGATAGAATGGCCGCTTGTCCTTTTTTGTGGACATTTTTTCTAAGCTTTGTTAAGAAAGGAAAGTTTTTCTGAATATTTGCTGGCATCCCTTGTGCCACGGAATGTTTATTTACTCGTTAATTAATAACTCTAATTTTCCACATGCTTAGCCGGCTCGGCTTAACGAGGTGAGTTATTTTACTGAGTGTTGCTAACTTGTCTGTTTTCATAATTTGGTTTAGATGTCGTTTTCATTTAAGCTAGGTCATTAATATTAGGTAAATTCTATTTGATGACTTATATAGTACATAAATTTACTTATTCGAGCATTTTTAGTATGGATGCCGCAGTACACATAACACAGTACCATATGCTTTGCAGCTGTAATTCTCTCGTCAATGGCAATTATTGCCCTTTGTGGGAGGAAACATTGTTGTAGTAGGACTCTATTTATTGTGCTACCAGCCACGTTTTGGGCCTGAGGGTGTTTGTTGCAAGGGTGTCAAGAAAACAAGAAATTGGTGATGGTCTCCACCTCCCCTACAACCATCCCAAACCACCTTTTTATTAGACTTTTCCTCGTGTTTATTTAACAATTTATTGAACAACACAACAAGAAGAACCACGTATTACATACATTGAACAGAGAAGAAAAAGAATAAGCGCAAAACCGAGGCACGGGGGTCTATAACCTCAAATAATGGTATTTTCAAGTTTGCCTGCTTTACCCAGTCTGAAAAGCAAAAAAAAGATTAACATGATAAACCTAAGGAGTGCACTAAATCCATAAAAAATATCCGTTACATTAACTTTAACATGATTATGTTAGTGATGCATATCAAATAGTGAGCACTCTACTATGGTGTCAACACTGAAATTGATACATACTTTTGCTTTAATTTCGTACTTTAATTTCACATTTCTTTGCATCTCAGGAGAGGGGGGTTTGCACGACCCCTAGTAGGAAAATCCTACTTACTTGCAGTATCACTGAAATGCGCTTCCCACAACATTGTCGTTAATGCTATTCGTACCTAGACGCTGACGGCCGAATTGTGAAAAATATTAACAAGTTTGTAACTCCATCAACCAAATATTTAATGCTTTTCATTCTATACCCACCAATCCATTCCCAGAAACCACCGCTACATGTATTTAGGCTGCTTCATGTTCTTAAGCCGCTGCGTGTACGCAAGTTGCTACTTGTACTTTGGACCCAACATTAACGTAAGCTAGTTTAATATTGCGGCTCCTTGTCCCGAATGTGACCGTTGGTAGACTAAGGGTCAATTCATGCTATGCTAGAGTTACCCCGCTGTTGTGCAGGTGCGACAGCAGCACATGGAGCGCGCTGTGGGCTTCCTGTGCGAGGAGCTGAAGGTTGTGGCACCACAGGAGGCCGAGCAGCGCGTCTTCTTCGTGTCGGCCAAGGAAGTCCTGCAGCAGCGACTCGCTGACTCTGGACACCAGGCACAGGGTCAGAAAGATTAGCGTGACATGAAAACCTTTTACCGTTTGCTTTCTTGCTGCTTCTACACTTTTCACCCGTTTCATCCATGGGTCAGAGATATTAGCGTGACACAAAAACCTTTTACTGTTTGCTTTCTCGCTGCTTCTACACTTATCACCCGTCTCATCCATGTCTGATTTGAACCTACATCATCCATTATCTCCCCTTCTTATCTTCTTGTACCCCTCAGGGGGGACTTCTGACTTGTGTCTATGCTCGTCAGAAGTCCTATGGGATTTCGCGTTCCTAGGGGGATTGTTCCTGAGCGCCCCACCGCTGAGCTCGCGGTGTTTGACTGCAGATCTCAGTTGTTGGGTTAAGTTATTATGTAGGTAGGATTCCTTACATTTCCCTTCTCTGTCTCTCTCGTGCGGGTGGCCGACGTCCCGTGTAAGCGACCTCTTGTTCGAGTGTCTTCTTCTGTTGCTTTTCACCTGTCCCTTCTTGTCACTTCGTCTCTTTGAGATGCTAACCCTGCTTCTTTCGAGCCAGCTTCAGCGGGCTGGACATCTGAGACCTTCCGCCCCTTGTGGATGATGAATAATTGAGATCTTCCACCTCTATGGTGATGTTCATCTTGACTTTCGGTGCGAGATAGCTAAATAGCTGAAGCGCTAGTAAACATTTGGCCACTAAACTAACTTATCTTCTTGTAAATTTGAAAAGGTAACAATAGATGCATGACATTTAGACAGCAATCATGTGGGGACATTGAACATGTAGCAGACAGTTATCAATTCTACTAATTATTCTTTAATGATGATTTCTTTGGAGTTGAAATAAATTTAACTCTATTATTATAATTTAACTCTTTCTATATCATTATTATATTTATTATTATTATTATAGAACTCATATTATAACAAAACAGTATAGTTCATATATCAATCTCTGTGTTGTATGCGTGCAGTAACAGCGCTGCCTGAGGGATTCTCTAGTCGCATCTTCGAGTTCAAGGATTTCGAGCGGCGGTTCGAGGAATGCATCTCGAAGACCGCCGTCGTCACCAAGTTCGACCAGCACGCCCAGCGCGGCCGCGCCATCGCCAAGTCTGTTCCGTTCCTTGCTATTGCTTCGATACTTTATAAACATTAACAAGCCTTGACAAGAAGATGCCGATTCGGTGCAAGGGACTTAATATTTATAATTAATGTCATGATGATTTGAGGTTTCAAACCTGAATAGAACGTCATATAAACGTCACATCAATGGTCATAATCGTTTGTTCAGTTTTTGTTGTCACGTTCTTATAATTTTTTGAGCGTAAACTGTGAGCTAAAAGCACTGTTGCTACACATAATTGTCGCTTTCTCATGATTTTGTGCGTGTAAGCAGTGAGCTACAAGAAGTGCTGCAGCATAATGCATATCAATGTACGTATTCTAGTTTAATCTTTGTTATCACTTATGATCTTGTACCCGTGTGGGTACAGTGAGCTTCAACAAGGACTGCTTCAAATCTATGATCATGATCATTTGTTCAGTCTTTGTTTTCACTTTCTTATGATTTTGTGTGAGTTAACAGTGAGCTACAAGAAGTGCTGCTGCATATAACCATTAGTTCTATATTTTTTGTTACATTCTTATGATTTTGTGTGCATGAACAGTGAGCTTCAGGAGCTGTTGCTGCACATCCAGCAGAGTGCAGGGCAGGAGCGCGAGCAGAAGCTGCAGCAGCAGCGCACCCTGAAGCAGCGACTGCACCAAGTGACCCAGCAGCTCGACACCGCTACACACGTCATCAAGGATAACATCCAGCGCATCGTGCACGACATTGACCGCAAGGTTCCCAAATAACTTTATCCATTCCATTCAGGGGATTCACAGTCCTAGCTTCAATTCTTTTATTCCATCGTCTTCGAGCAACTTTTGTTTTTTGCAAAGAAAGACTGTTGAAATTTTGAATCTCCTGAAGATGATTCCACGAAAAATGTGATCAATGATGGCAAAGTTCCCCAAGAGACAAGTCTAGAGCAGTATAAGAATCGGTGACTGGCCAACTCAGCATATTATTCAACGTGGATATTGCTATGTTATGCTATTTTTTGTTAAAATTCAAGACCATTCTTGTATATGATTTTTTCCTGATGTTCTCAACCATGCTACACCTCTCTGAGCGAAGTGCCCTTTCAAATACTAATCCAATTGTAACATTTGATTGCAATGTCTGCAACACTAACGTTAGGTACCTAGCTCGAAAAAGCTGAAAGTACGGTAAATCTTATTTCAGATAAGCACGGATCATAGGTAACAGCTACTTGATTCTCTTGGGAAGTATTATACATTCTGTAAAAGTTTTAACATTCATATGGCTTTTGCAATATGTGCATTTAATCTCACTTTGGAGAACTTAGAAATAATTGTTCTTCCTGAAAAACTTTTTGATGTTTTATTTCATATAAAGCCTCTTGTACTTACTGTTTTAGCGTCAACCCGCTTCCTAATGTGACATTTCATGCTAAAGTTATTGATTTTATTCACTATGTACTTGGTTGTTCAGGTGTCGGCTGCGCTCAACGAAGAAATTCGCCACTTGTCCGCGCTGGTGGAAGAGTTTAATGAACCTTTCCGCGCTGACCCTCTGGTGCTTAATGTCTACAAGAAGACCTTGCACAGCCACGTGGGCGCCGGTCTAGGGTGTAACTTGAGAGCCAAACTCTCGGACGTTGTATCATCTAACATCGAGAGCAGCCAGAAGGATATGACGGCTCGAATCCTCACGCTCCTCAATGAAGAACAACGCAAGCTGGCCGAGACTTTCCTCCTGCCACGTCGGGAGCCTTTTGAAGTCTTCTATGGACTTGACTGCGCCAACCTCTGCCAGGTTCGGCCATTTGATTTGACGCTGATGATACTACTAAAATGAACGGTTTAATATATTTTTTATTTATATATATGTGCCCGGCATTATGATGTGAACACAGCCTACATCTTCAGCCGCTGGCAACTGGGATAAATAGAAATTGTGTTGGAATGTAAATATTTGGTTTTCCCACTAATAATTGGCCATTACAGTGGATTTATTATGGAAGCCTAGTTAGTAACTTGCAATCCTGCAGGTTTGCATTTCAAGCCGAGTTAGTAATCGTGATTGCTGTAGATATGTAGCAATAGCTACGGTAGTGACAGTCTATCTTCTGGATTTGTATGGAAAGTTCGCGTCCTTTAGCTTAATTTTTCACAGGACTTCCATGAGGACATCGAGTTCAAGTTCTCACTGGGGGTGGTGTCGCTGGTGAAGAGCTTCATGGGGCGCGCCGCCTGCAGGATCCTCAACGTCAGCCAAACAGAAAACGTGGGGCCGCGCATGCAGATTTTTTATATTGTCGGGCTGCATGAGGAAATATAATTTTAGAACGAGATACTCTGTTGATTTCTAGGGACGTTTGTTTGTTGTATGTCAGGGCCTGTTAGATCTATTGCTAATTCAGGCACTGAAAGTCACATTTCTGATCAGCATTTCGATAAATATTTTTAATATGGTAGAAAATCTGTCCGTATTACTTGGCATGTGATGAAGATGTCACAAAAAATTAGTTCATTCCTTAGGGAAGGAAATAAGTGTCTTTTGTTTTTCATTTGAGTTCTTCTGGACTGTTATAATTAATCAAAATCTTCCCACTAACTTATTTCCAAACATGGGTCCAAGATTTTTTTGGCAGTAATTTTCGTCACGTGTATATGCGTCTTCTCTTGACATTTACTAAAATATTTACCACCTAAGAACTATTGCAGTATATACACACTTTTGGATTAAGTGCTCAGCCATGAATCATGGTGTGAAAAAAATGCCGAGGAAATGTGTGACCAGAATAATTCTCTTTTTCTCAGGTTCCTCGTGGATCTGGCCTGACTCCCCAGACCCCCAGCAACGAGCTCCCTCCTCTAGGAGTGTCGCAGAGCGACTGGAGCCTCATCAGCAGGATGGCGGTATCGACCGTGGGCTCCCAGGGCAGCATGGGCCTGGTGCTCCTCCTTGGCATGGTGATCAATTTGTTATTACTCCTTAAAATAATTTACAATAATTGGTCCTGTTATCCTCTTGAAAATATCCTCTTTCTCCAGAGGGTTTTGTTTGAGATTTTGCAAGGATTAACGTTATTGCCCATCCATGCAAGGTTTTCTAGCAGTGAACAGATGTATCCGACTGTGAAGTGTGTCACATTACATTATTATTCGTCCTCCCATGAATCAGTATTGGACAAGGGCCAGTCTACGTTTGACTATTGTGATGTTCAAGTTAGGGCTAAATCTCTTTCACAAATTTGAAATTTCACAACACCGGTGTCACAGGTACAGTTCAGAAGGAACAGGTACACAGAGAATTCCTTCGTTGATATTAAAGCCGACGTATTCCTACTACAGCCAGCTACAAAACATGCACCTTTTTCTTTTGACATATAGATAAGGCTGTCCCTCATATTCACTTCACCTTTTCGTGTGTGTAGCTATACAAGACGATGGACTGCCTGCTTCAATGACCTTATTTGTTCCATCAGCTGCTCTCTACAGCTGGCTGCTTTAAATAATTGTTCATTCTTGTTCCATAATCTTGCATAATCTTCCCGCTTATTCAATCATCTGTACAAGGCGGCCCACCGTCTTGAATTCAAGACTGAGCCGCCTTGCACAATCACCCCTTCGTTTTCCATCAGTTGTTCAAGACGGTGGGGTGGCGCGTGGTGGGCTTCACGTTGACGGTGTACGGCGGGCTGTACGCGTACGAGCGCCTCACGTGGACCACCAAGGCCCAGGAGCGCGCGTTCAAGCGGCAATACGTGCAGCACGCGACCGCCAACCTACACCGCATTGTCGACGTCACGTCCAACAACTGCAGCTTCCAAGTCCAGCAGTCAGTCATCTGAGAATTTAATTCGTTTTGCTTCATCTACTCTTGTTTCAACGTTGCAAGTTGTTGATGAAGGAGATATTTGGGTGAAATTTATTGGCGTTTCAGCACTGTAGGAATGTGGTTACTAATTAAATTCAATTTTTCTTGGTACCGTATTTCTTACGTGTGTCTAAATTTATTGATTTATATTAAATACGGAATAGCTTACGATCTCTGGCAGTGTTTGTTATCTAACAAGATCTCGACCCAATTTGGTGAACTAAGTTTACGTAGGCTATATCATGTTTACGTAGGCTATACTGTATTATGTTTACGTAGGCTATATCATGTGGTGTGTCTATGGTATATCCATGCGCAGGGAGCTGTTCGGGATGATGGCGCGTCTGAGCCGGCTGGTGGACGAGAGCCTGGTGACCATGAAGCGCGAGGTGCGCACAGCGGAGCAGCTGGCAAAGCAGCTCGAGGAAACCGCCAGCGCCGCCAAGACGCTCAGGAACAAGGCGCACTACCTCGACCGCGAGCTCGGCGTATTCCAGGAAACTTACCTTCATACCGCACGACACTAAGGCGGCCTGGTTTGCTGCGAGTCTGCTCTTCCTTAGTCATTTGTCTATGAATGCATTAAGCGTCGTCAATGCTATTCGTACATGAAGGCCTGGAATGAAGAAGTCCTGTTAGTACACGGAGTTTTAATGTATTGAACGTGCTTTGAACTTTTGATTGGGTGCAGCGAGTCGTGGTTGCAGCTCTGATGAATTTCTCCTTTCTCCCTTTTGCAGCTCTGATGAATTTGCCGGTTTAGAGCAATTGGCTGAGGTTGCTTCGGGCACCGCATACAAATATACAGCCAACAGCTACTAATCTTTTGTTTAAAAGATGCTATTAGAAAAACTAAATTAAGCATACTTGTTACTTACCTTGTTCAACTTATTCACTCTCTGAAAGCTATCTTGGTACACTGATAACTAACTCTTAAGACACTCGTTATGTCACTGACCAGATCGTTGGAGCCTTCACTGCTCGCATTCATGTCCTCTTGACAGCTAGGCAGCCTAAGGACATTTTTTTGAATGCTTCGTTAGCTCGCAACGGTCACGAGTGATCAGCACCTTACGACTGATGTTGACAGTTGCCTCGCCAAACATGGTGAAATGGTCTGAATCAAAATTATTTAGCATGAAAGAAAACTTATCTCAACTGAGTAAGTCATAATCTAGTCAAATATCTATTTGAACGTCAAAGCCGCCTCTGGTCATCTGCTTAGTTATCAGTTCACCTGCGCTGAAGATAATATATATTAGGAAATTTTTCTCGCTCCTTGGGAATTGTATAATCATGTCACAAAAGCACACAAGGCTGCTCGAGAAGAGTATTTGAATGGTTTGTCCCGATGCCTCGAAAGTTCGTTTGTTATTGAGAAAATCGGCCGAAGAACGCAATTGCAAGCATGTGTTGAAGAATGTAGTGGTACCATCATTTGATAATATGTGCTGGTAATTCACTAGATCTGTTTGTCCAAATTACGGTCTTGAAGTCATGGCGATGCCCCAATGTGGTGAGATTTGGTGTAATTTCTCTCTCAGTTTGTAATTCCTTATGAATGGCGAAGCTTGAGTATGAATTACTGGTAGATTGAGAAAAATTACAGTATGAATTCATTAAGGAATTTTTCCCACAATCGAAAATTAATGTTAATATAACTTGTTTAAAATTGAAGGTTGTAAATAATCGCCTTGCTTTGTGATAAATCAGATATTGAAGGTTTTACGAATAGTGCTGGGTTGTTTTGAAGAGAACTGGGATTAGAATAGAATAGAAGTGTCGGCACTGAAGAAATGGGCCCATGGCCATGGGTTAACTGTGTTGGGTTTCAAGATAGAGCAACATTAATTAATAGAAAATCACATTCGTCACATTTTCAAGAGAACTAGAATCCCTTTCACTCTTTTACTTCAGTAACATTTTACCACTATTTTTGTTCTCTTACATTCGATTCTCTAGGATGTTATTTTTTCCACATTATCTGTCCGATTCGCTTGCCTTAGCTTTGGAAATATATGCGATAATTTGTCAGAATAATATACAGTTTCACTTAAACTCAACGACGAACATAGAATCCCTGAACAATATCTTCTGGGAGAATTGAGGTTTTCTACTACTATAAATTATAACGTTGAAGATATTTCATAAGAAATCATGTAACCAATTCAGATCTTTTTATGCTATTCATCGTTGTTAGACCATTTACAGTTCTTTGTACGGTGTGCAAATTCAAGCTACCCTAAAACTAGAATATTTTCTCATGTTCAATTATGTGCCGTGAATTTGGTACCTCGCAGTGTTAACCAAACGTGATCCGCACGAACGGTTTGTTGCCTATACGAGGACGCTGTTTAGTTTATTCAGTCAGAGCCGTGGTTAATATCGCCGATGTTTGCATCTCTTTATTGGAGTCGTTATATGTTTATATAAGAGAATAGATCATTAACGGCTTATTTAGCGTTCGAGTTCAAATTGCTTGCAAGTCTTAGATGGAGAATTGTTTATTGATTTGATGCTACTGAGCATGAGTGTTTTTTAGTAGTTGGGACAGCTCGTAGAATCCGCTTTCTTTGCTTCTTGTAGTTTAGGAAAGTTGGAAAATATTTCATGATTGAGTTTACTGCCAGTAGTGTTTTGAGTTGTTCCAGCTTTAGCCTACATTCTACTCAACTGTAGGGCTAGATGCAGTAACCAAACGAATACCTCAAAGGACAAATTTCTTTACGAATACCGCTATTGTGAGTTCTGCACATTATGAACTGTACAGGAATCCTGTAAAAAACCGTACGAAATTATTGCCGTGTCTGTTTAGCGGATTTCGGTCTGGTGTCACTCATCGCTGGTGGGTTGAGGTTGTGGCCAAAACTCTAGTCGAGAATTGCACGTCTTGGCTTCTCCCGTTATTGCTTCTATTGGTAATGAAATGGGGAAGATATAATGGTTACTCATTAGGACTTGCTTGATAGGAGAATGCACTGTTTATAACGAATCACGAATTTTTTTTACTTCAATTAAAGCAATGTTAATTTTTCAAGAAAATAACAATGTTGATATAATTCAATCGACTCTCCGTGCATTGGATGTTCCGTTGATGGGCTGCTTTCGCGGATAAGGCTCACTTTTTTTAAATTTTGGCACTACAAGATTTCAGAAGACGGCTTGTTTCATGCAAGTGTGGCATAATATCTGGATTAAGAGTTGACGTTAAAAATGGTGGGGTTTGTTCGCCTCTCACTGAATTGTGAATCGCTGGAGGATTGATAACTACAATAATGTCAGCACTTGTTATTTCGAACGGCGTTAGCGGTCGGTTCAGGAGTCTGGCTAATCTAAATCGTACTGCGGGTCAAGGGGTACATTTGTCTTGATGCATTTATGAGCTCTTGAAAATTAAGCGTCTTATGGCTGCACCCCAAGTAGCTGAGCTCTTGCAGGTTGCACTCCTGAAGGCGGCAGCCCTGCAGCTCGAATCTCAAGAAGGTTGCTGCTCTGAAAGTTGTAATAGAGAGCCACGGCTTTCCTCATTTCGGTCCGATGCTGCTCAGCGGGAAACTCAAGCTACTTTTTGGGCCACGTGCCATGTTGCATTTTTTCTGTGTTCCGAATATCTAGAGCTGTGTAGAACCTTTACTATGCTCATTTAGTCTCGGTGCTAACTTTGCTACGTTACTAACCTATTTTATTCATGGTATTTTCACCTTATGTCTGTATAGATGCTTTTAATTTAGGATAAAGCCCTGCGAATTTATCTCGATATATTTTCTTAGTTACCTTGTTACCTCTCATTTTAAACGCAATATTCTTCTGTTTGTTTCTTGTTCGCTATTATCTACTGGTCATTTTGGGGTCCTGGTTCTTGGGTTCAAGTTATTCTTTCGTGCGCATCTTTCCGCAGTATCTACGCGACGTTAGTTGGTGCTGCATCAACGCCTCAGCTCCACGTTCAGCATGAAACTCTTCCTTATCGTCATCGCAATCAATTTTGGTGGTCTGAAACATTCATACATTAAATACGTTTGATTTTGTATTCTCTTGATTAAAAGATTTATGAGAAACGCTGATTGCTTGGGTAGGTTTTTAATTGTAATGGTAATGCGCAATGCTTCGACTTGGGTGTGATAATTTTTGTACATCCTTGGTGTTCTGTCGTTGACGTTTGAGACTCGGTTTCGAAGAAGAACTAAATCAGCCAATATTCGTGTTTAACTCGAAATGTATGCGCATATTGTTATCAGAATCCTGTTACTTGATCTGTACAAATCATGATGTTTTTGTGTACTATTGTGGTTCAAATTTAACCTCTTTTCTGGCTTTGCTGAAAATATTTTACGTAAGAATGACGATACCCGATCGTTTACTCAGTCCTTTATAATGCATGTTGGATGATGTATTGTGACAACTGTACAGAAGCTAACGGTTTGTACATATGGTGTACTATACAAAGCACGATGAGCCAGCCTGCGTTTTATTATCCCCTTCTTGCTGCACCAGCGGGTGCTGCAAGCCTTTTTTACTCGTCGATTTATTAGATTCTGAGAAATGTAAACGTGAAAATTCATCTCCTTTAAAGATGAGTTGTCCAATTATTTGAAATTCGCATAGTCTCCATCTGTATTATACCTTTGGCGGCCATGAGGAGTATACAAACACTAGGACGTGAAACATGATTACACTCTCGATGACTTGAGCCATAACTTACCTATTGATGACTTGGGACTCCACCTCCCTCTGGGTGATGTGTAATGTTCCAATCGTCCATGATACGTCCTATCATATCTCTTGAGTCGGACGTGTCCGTAACGCCTTAAGAACATGAATGATACTTACCTGAAACCGTTCATTAGAAGACGTTTGTTAATATATTCGTATTTTTAATTAAATTTCAATTCACCTTCTGAAACTCGACAATATTACTGCACTACCAAGTTTCTTTCCTCCAATGCAGGTTCAACCTTGCTAAGTTAATTTAAGTGTGGCATTTTGCGGTACTCGGAAGATGCGCACGTTCGGCGATTTTTGTCAGGTTCTCCTGTGCTTACTTCGGACATTTCCTGTTAGCTTTCCCTTCTCTGCTCTCGCACGGTTCAACGAGCAGCTTCTCTAACTTGTCTATTTCCTGTTAGTGTTTATCTCCAATAGTCTAATCGTTGAAACCGACATCGAAATTCCCTTTTTGAATGACTAATCACTTTGTCCATTTTCTTCCTTGATTTAAAAGATGAATTTTCGATTGATTCAGCAATTCGATTATTAACTCACGCCATTAAATGTTGAAGGTAAAATTTATTATAAAATAGTTTTAGTATTTAAGAAAAGAACTTTTTTTTTTTACATGGCTTCTCATGAACTTCGATAAGAACTAATCTTTTGCCACCACGATGAACTTTTCTTCATTATCATAAAAAATTCCGTTCCTTTCGATAACAGAATGGTCAGCTTCATCGTCCAAAGATTGCTGCTCGGTTGTAACCCTCGCAAAAAAATAATTCCTTATGCATTAAGATTATTTCTTGATGTGCTCTTTATAATAACCACACGGCTTGCCTGAAACCGTTACGCTCACTTTTACGCTGCCGTATTTTAGAGCCTCGAGGGATAGTAGCGCTCTTGTTATTCTTCCCGGAATAATTATGACATTTTCACGCTGCATTGAAATAGAAAGTATACAAGAAAGCTGCCTCCGTCGTTGTACTTTAGCCATAGAAATGTTCAGAATTGTAGCTCGAAAGCTGAAGATCCTCCAGAATTAACTGACATTTCCAAGGCATCTTGCTTTTCATCTTCACTTTCAGACGCTGCAGGCACGAGTAACGGAACTGACCAGGCAGCTTTCTCGGTTACGGGCGAGACGGACTCTCCTGCTAATTTTCTTTTCTTCGTAGCAGCACGTAAAAAACGTTACTGCCAAGCTTGTTATGCTCATCCGCTCATATTCGGTTTCTGTTTCTTGTGTTGCAATATCCTCAAATTGTTAAGATATATTTAACAATACTTTGTGCCAAGCGGTTTATAAAATATTTATTTGTTTTAATATTTGCCATGTTATCTGATGAATTCATAAAATTATCACACGAAAATGAAGTCACACTATCCCATGAGTTAGGGTAAATATTAACGTTATTATTTGGACGTTTCCTTCCAGGACGTTTATTCGTTTGACCGTGACGTGATGTCGTCACCTGTCACGAGCGGATGTCGCTTTACATGCACAAAAATTAATAAAATTACAGTGAACAAATATGCTGCAATAACAGTCTATTCATTTAAGGATCTCTTTTAAATGTTCAGCATATTACTCCCAAGTGACAGAATTATTCGCGCTGTCATCTAACTATTGCGAAAGCAATGTCAGCAAGCCATTTACTTTCGTAACGAGTGCGTCTTTTTTTTTCTCTTTAACTTCACTGTAACTTTGACAGTTCTCTTTAACTCACTTCTTGTTGTTTGTCTGCTACAAATCTTATAATCGATTTTTAACACACTTTTACCTGTCCAATCAATCTGAAATTTTGAACACTTGCGTAAAGGCGGAGACAATGCATGAATCTATTGAGAGAATCAATAATTTAAAATTAGAAATAAAATATGAATATTAAAAAAATGTGAAAAAATAATTTTGTCTGTTACAAATCTTTTAATCGATATTTAACACACTTCTACCTGTCCAGTCGATCTTAAATTTTGCACACTTGCGTAAAGTTGGAGACTATGCATTAATCAATAGACAGAACAAATAATTTTATAAATGAAAATTTTTTATATATTGAATAAAATTCAAAAATAATTTTCTTAATATATGAAAATAAAATTAGAAATTCATTGTAAATGTGTAACATCGGAGACGATGGGTTCTTTAGAAGTGTTATCTTTAAAAAGTAATTTTCAAACGCATATTATTTTGGTTATAAGTAGTACAAATATTAACTTTACCTTCGGCAATTAGTATCGGCTTTTCAATATATAGAGTCCCAAATAAATGGGACTTTCAGATCTGAATGGCTTTTCTTTCAGACCCGTTTTCAGAAATTGTGTAATGGTTTCGTTGTTTTTGCGGATCCGTACAGCCGTAGAGTGAGCGTGACAACACAAGCGTGAAGGCAGCAACTGACCACCACGCGCGTCTGGCAGCTCAAGCTTCCGCGTCAGCGGCCACGCCCACGCCGGGTGACGCGGCGGCGCAACCGACACAAGACTACAAACTTTTGCTCGATTTGCTTGATAGTTTCTTAAGCCGCACGAATAAAATACGGCTGCCATTTTTTATAGTTGGTTTTTCTTCATTTGATTTACGCATCGAGGAGCTTTTACAAGAACGGTTTACAGAAAACTGAAACAAACTGTTACCTAATGAAATAAAATTAAATTGTGAAAGATGTCGCTTTATAATAATTTCGGAACTTCCAAATTTTAATTGAGCAAATAATTTATCGGAATTTAAAAATGGACCCTGTTTGGCTTCTTGTCCAACGAAAAAAAATTTCGTTTATTTACAATAAATTGTTAATATTTGCGGGCCAGCTACTATGTCATTCATATTTCATCTCTTTCTGGAAAATTTTATTTTATTACATTCTGATACGGTAAATAAATCGTGAAATTATTTGGCAGAGTTCCCTGTTTGATACTTTTTTTTACATTTACGGTTAAATATATGTTAGTCATCCCTCAAAACTTATACGTAAATTTTTCCACTTGAATCTTGTATTATGCTCGGGCTTACAAAATAAATGACAAATTATAAACGAATTTTTATATGCAAATTAGTACTGAGTAGAAATATTCCTTTTCTTTCCCAAAGAAGCAAATAGCTTATCAATCTAAATACTTTCCTCAGCATTTATTATCTTTTTAATAGGAGCTGATGAACGTCTCTCGAGCATTGCGTTACTATCTTTTTAAACTTTATCCTGGATAGGGACTCTTCCTGAGAAGGAATCGAGTCCCACACAATATGCTTGAGATTAAATTGTTTCATGAAAAAGCCTCATGATAAATATCATTTCGTTAATTATTAGGTCAGTAGGGTCTATGTTTATAGTCTATCAAGTCAATTGCTTGAGTTGCGTCTTTTACGAAGTGACTCACAATTCGTCTCAGAATGTTAAAATGAAATGCTATTCATTACAGACGGCAACATTAATTTTGAACCTCATTTGTTTAATCGAACAATTTATAAAAAAACGTAGACTATCGCTGATCGTTATGACAGCTAGGTTCGCAACTTTTAATTTCAGTTTATAATCATTTCTACAAGACGACAAAGATCAATTAGGCTACATTCAAATACTAGTGGCATCGTCTGTAATTGTTTAGAATTATGGTGATTGATGTGATAGTGCGGATGGCGAGGAAAAATGACGCTGGAACAAAACGAAATAGGTGGTCTCCTCTCGCAATGAAAATCATCCACACATTCTTTCACCCTCAAATACAGCCTTTCAGGATTTTCCCGGTATTTCCTTTAAAAATCTATGGGGTTCCAGTTTTTGCTCACTCAATTTTAACGGAGTGAGAATATTCATAAAAGGTTATCTTTCTCTATGGGCTCAAAAGAATTCTAATTCAGCATTCAACGCATTCAAATTCCTCTGCACACCTCTTAAAATTTTTCTCATAATTTACCTCCATTTTGTAATCCGTTCTTTAGTCAATAATGCATATAGTTTACTTATTTTACTGGAAACATCGCCATGTTATCTATTTGTTTTCTTTTGCACGCTCCACTACAGGGACGTTGCATGTTGTTGCGGGTCAGCTGAGCTGTTCTGTTACGGCAAAATAAAAGCAGTGCAGATACGATAAATAATACAGCAGATTCTACATATTACGTAAATATAAACTTAGTAGTGCAGATACGTATATAAGATAATGCAGCAGCTCCTATTATGTAAATCTAAACGGAGTAGTGCAGACACGGAAGATGATGCAGCAGCTTCTATTATGTAAATTTTAACGAAGTAGAGCAGACACGTTCGTATACGGAGTAGCGCAGTTGCATGTTCTCATGCATGCTCGGGGCATATCAGAGTTTGGGTTCACACTAGCAGTTTTTCTCTGATAACCTGACATCGGATTTATACCTTGCCCTAAGTTTTTTTTTCTGGCGTTTTCGTGAAAAGAAGACAAGCCAAATTTTGTTTCCAATACATACATACACCCACCTAAGATTTCATGAAATAACAAATAACTATTATATCATTGCAATTCTCCTGACTATGTAATCGGAATGTATATGTCGTCCTAATAAAAATTTAAGTTCTTTTTCGTTTTTTACAACACTTCTCTTTAACTTCACTTCTTGTTTGTCTGTCTGTCTGTCTGCTACAAATCTTGTAATCAAAATTTAATACATTTCTACTTATCCTATCGATCTGAAATTTTGCACACTTGCGTAAAGTTGAAGGCAATGCATGGATCAAATGACAAAATAAATAATTTTACGAATAAAAATTTTTTTCCAATATTTAAAAAATTAAAAAAATAATTTTGTAAGCTACGAATCTTATAATTGATATTTGACACATTTTTGCCTGTCCAATTGGTCTGAAATTTTACACACTTGTGTGAGGTCGGAGGCAATGCATGAATCAATTGACAGAATAAATAATGTTGAAAAAAAAAATTTCATATATTAAAAAAATTGAAAAATTTTTTTTTATTATTCAAAAATACAATGAGAAATTCATTGTACATCTGTAACATTGGAGACACTGGATTCTTTAGATGTGTTGACGTATATTATTAGTTGTCATTTCAAAATATGAGAAACAATTATTTTCTTTCATAAAAATAATTATTTTACCTTACTAACAGTTACTGTGTATCATATAGCTAAGATAGCCAGTCTCATGGTTTGATATTCATCAATTAGTCAGTTACAAATTTGCCTGAATTTACTTTCTATTTGCAAGAAAGCAGCGAACACAACACGTAAGCGTCGCTCCGCCTCTCACATCCAAATATCTGCACTGGCGTCCGAACTTCGGGTGTGGCTCGACCATGGCTAACAAAATGCGGTTCTTCATCTGAATGTAATACGTGATACCATATCTTTTATTTTCCTCGCCAATACTTTGTATCCACGGAGAAACAAATGAGAATAAAAAGATATCGATGGAACGCGATACCGCAAAATAATTTGGAAGTAATATATAAATATTAGAAAAAGGTATAGAATAGTTTTTCATATATGCATCATTTCTTAATATCTCAAATTGGGCGATGCAGCAGTGTCGTGGGACGTTGAAGTCACCGAGCATGCAAAACAGAGAAGCGAATGCAAAGACAATAAAATATAACTCAATACTCACTGCAGTGAAGACAGAGTGCGCATTTTCTCGTCGACGAGAACGTGAAGTCACGGACAGACAGACAGACGGACAGACAGACGGACAGACAGACGGACGGACATGGCGAGCATAATAGCGCCTTTTTCCATAAATGACAAAATGCGCTATAAAGAAACAAATTTTTACCTACGTTTATATGCAGGCAGAATTATTTGTATTCATAGCGGTCAGAACGAAAATTTTTAATTTTTAATTTATCAGCCCAATTTACAAGAACTGTTTTAAAAAATTAAAGGAGGTTCGAGAGGGACAAATTTGAATAGAATTGAAAATAAAAAAGTTTTTGTGGTCTTAAAAGCTTTGGATTAATAAAAAGACACATTTGGAACAAATCTGCACTCATTTCTCAAATGCAGGTTTCATTGAAGACCAGAGAGTATTTCTTATTGACAATTTTCTTATTGATTTTCTCTATTCGGCGAATTAGGCTCATGATAGGAACTGAAAAGTTAAATATCAGGTTTCCAAGGGACATTTTATTATAATTTTACGACGTTTCGAATGCAACTTCATTCATTATCATTTCTGTGACTGCATGCGTGGAACAATTGCTCGTGCGCAGTGCACATAGTTTCGGTGCTTGGTTGGCGTGAGGGGAAAGTCTTGTCCTGAGCTCATCAGTGATGCTCCAACTCTGCAGTAGAAATCTTCGTGTGCCACGAGGACGAGGCTAATTTACAGGGAAACTCTAGAACTTGTCCGTATCCGTGCTCCCTTTGGCTTACTTTGCTCATGGGCCGTAACTATCAGATCGGTTATCTGAACTATCGTAACTATCAAAAAGAGAGACGAGTTCATAGCTCCGTCAGCTGATCACTGACTCGTTCAAATATCAGCACGATCTTCCTAAGCAACACTAGAGGAAATACTGTAATCTTGACGTAATTACGATTTTTATCACTCACTTTTAACTCTCGCACGAAGACGCACATTTTGTAATGCACGGGCATAAATTGTAGCTAAAAACAATGCCCAGTCAGTGCCATCCATTTTCCAGTGCCATTCAAATGGCCGTAAATCCATATGCAGCCATCCACATGGCCCGTACCTGCATATAATATTTGTTCCCTGCATATTCTGTGACTTATTTGAATAACGAAAGTCCCGTTTGGCTCATTACTAATTAATGAAATGACATCCAGTCTTATTTTACACATGAAATTATCTTTCGTCAAATCTGTAAATAATCTTCGATTTTTAATTTTGTTATCAATTGTAATACCTACTCAAGATGTCTTATAAGTAAAGGTTGAGCCACTCCTGGGTCAGTTGGTTGCGGGTAGCCGTGGTGTCAACATGTGCAGTGTGTGGTTCAGCCTCAGCGTCATCGCCACGGTGAGTTGGGAGTTCAGTGGTCCATCTCACTTGAGGTTTAAAACGTTAGACGAGATAAAATTAGTCGAATCTTCATTTAAAATTAATCATTGAACCAGAAGAATGATATTAAAAAAAGCAGGATTTTTGCACTAATTAAATGTGAAAATGAGCTTTTATGTCCGATGAAACAAAGTGCACAGTATGCAGCACTCAAAGGGTGCCGGTAGTTTGCACCGCTAATAATCGGGTAAAATATTTCACGGTCGGCCTTGAAAAGAATTTCGTTTGTTGGTGCGTGAAATTTTCTTGCTTCTTGAACAGGAATTTTTCGAACAAAGTCGTTGTTTCTTGTGACCGCCGCCTCTAAAACTTATGTTTCTAATTTATTTCAATTAAAATTCTATAACAATTGGGTTTTTAAATATAAAACTTATTGCAATGACAACTCGAGAAGAATATCAAGCTCGGGGAGGAAGAGTGGTCAAGATCGCCAAGCTTGGAGCAGCGAGTTGAGGGATCGAAATTCATGTCTGGTTGTGAATATTCTGGTGTGAATATTTACGAAATCGGCAAAGTGGCTTTATGGTTTATAATCGGGAACAGATAAGGCCAATATGGCCTTATCAAAGCTCATAGCACCGCTGCTATTATTGATAAACCGGAACCAGCATGTATCTTTTACATTTGTTCGGCAGATTATCGTTTTGCACCAAATTGAAGTACTCGCAAACTCTCGAGAAATGTGCTCGTAGCGCACGGAAAATGAATGACTTAAAGTTATAAGTGTTTACAAATTGAAGATACCACATTGCTTTTTAACGGGGTGGTTTGAAATGAAAACTGAGCAAATTAGGGTTAATAAAGATAGTCTTCATTAAAGTTCAATTATTTCAGTTGGGACTTGCAGTGCAAGGCCCGATCGATCAGAATGCGGTTGGGCTTGTATAGATACGTGGTCCGTGATAAATTCATGAATCGTTTACAATGATCTGTAGTTAATTCATTTGTTATGCAGCAATTAGTGATGAATTATGGATTGTTGGGAAACTCAGGAGAAAGTTTTGCTTGTTTTATTTTTCACTATGATATTTATTTTTAATGAAATTCTCTAAATTTAATGCTGAAAGTGCCGTTTTCATGCTGCACAAAAAGTGGGGTATATTTTTCTTCTTCATCAATATCGCATTCGTTTGCAATAAATATGACTTCTATATTTCTGAGTCCAATAAATTTTCTCTCATTTTACAAAATAGGTTTTAGAATATATGCGTATTATTTATACGTAAATTATTGCAAGGAATTCACGAGTAATAAAAATTAAATTTTTTCTAATTTTTAAAACCAGTGTTTCTTTTTAGTGAATTAGGTTCTGGTTTCGAAATTTTGAATTGCAAAACCAAATCAAGCTTCTAAATGAAGTTGAACAAATATTTCAGAATACTTTCCTTAAAAAAATAATTCTTGACTTATTTCACTGATTTTCAAACTTTGCGTCAGCGCGCTCGGGAGATGGTTGCCTGCTGTTCGAGTATCAACAAAAATTGCTATTGTAAAACATTCAGTAAAATTGCTATTGTAAAACATTCTATAAACATATATTGTGAAGCATTCGATAAACATATATTGTGAAGCATTCGATAAGCATATATTGTGAAGCATTCGATAAGCATATATTGTGAAGCATTCGATAAGCATATATTGTGAAGCATTCGATAAGCATATATTGTGAAGCATTCTATAAACATATATTGTGAAGCATTCTATAAACATTCATTAGAAAACATTCGAAGATGCATCGCATATGGTGTGGCCTGATGCGGTTGCCCTCTTAGCAGCGGCTCCAACTCTCACTCTCAGGATGTCCAGGCTCCGGTGCATGCAGCAGTCTTCCCAGAAATTCATTATACAGGCCGTTTTTTCAGCCACGATTTACATTTGATGCTCCACGAGCATTATGCTGCAGATTTTTAACTTAAACGTGCATGATATTTATTGACACAGAAATTCATTATACAGTCCTTTTTTCAGCCACGATTTAAATTTTGATGCTTCACGAGCATTATGCTGCAAATTTTTAACATAAACGTGATATTTATTGATGTGTGTAAGTAAGTCATTGATTCACTTCAAAGTACAGTTGAAATTTGTACATGTGAATTGTGCATGTCATACATAAAGTTTAGTGAGGATTGGCGATCATATATATTCATGATCGGTTTCACCTCCAACCTCCTGACTGCATGCCTCATTTATTGACCAATTGCTGTTCATATTCCACACATTGTTGTCGGTAACAATCACATATACCAAATTTAAGATTAGTATTAAACGTTTAATTTTTCACACAAAGCTTCTTTATAGTAAAAATAATTAAAATAATATAATAGAACTCCGCTGATTATAATTCATTTCTTGTGTGAGAAGAAGGTTGTTCTTTCCAGTTAGGCCAGTCAAAAGTCTAATTTTCTGTTTGTTACGAATATGAGGCGGTGGATCAGATAACAGGATATTATAAAATAAAGTGGTTTGTATGACACAATGACAGCTCGTATAAGTTACTTGTGGCTTCTGTAAACAGCCGAGAAATTTTGCCTTCAAGTTAGCTGCTGTTGGTTTTCTCGTAAGATTTCTCTCAGGTTTCCTGTTCAGACGCTTCACAGCCGTCGTCTCTCAGGCCTAAGGCTCTTCAATACCAGTTTTTGCTCTTAAAGAAAGTGTGTGGGCTTACGACATCATCGCTAATGGTTGAGTATTTACTGAAGATGTGCTTTTGTAACCGATATCTCAACAGCACATAACAGAGATATAGAACTGTGGTGTGTTGTTGTCGGTTGTTTATCAAGTGGTACTGCGTTAATTGATGATGAGATATCCATGGGATGTACATTTTAACTTATTTGAAGCAAATTCCTATTTTCTAAGAAGTTGATGAGTATTTTTTCATTTGTTATTGCGTGATTGCCAAAAAGGCAATGCAGGGATTTCCGGCAAGATTGTACAAACAGGCAAACAACTTTCGTGTTGCCATCAACTTATGAGATGACAATGTTCGATTTTCTTACTATGTATGTGACCATAATTATATGTAAATTAATGTCGTTCATATGTTAATCAGATCCTATGTATAAACTATAGCGTAATAATCATGTTTCATGGCCAAAGTATTGTAGCCAAACTCCTTATTGTACCGGAATGCACTTGGCATCGTAATTCTATTACAGCAGAATATTCGCCTCAGAAACTGCCAGACGTATCTTTCATTTTAACGCTCAGCTGATGCAGCGTCGAAGCGAAAGCTCCCGGAGAGCTGCATGCCGATGCAGCCTCGCGACGCAAAAATTTGTTGTGGAATACAAGCGATTGGCTTCCGCGAGCTCCATTGCTTCCTTGTTGCTCAACAAAGCAAACTAAACTCTCACTTGCTTGGTCTTTTTACGCTTCATTGTTTCTTCATCTCGGCCATTCGCTGTCAACTTCTTGTATTATACTTTTCGTTAACTGGAGTATTTTAATTGTTTTAGGTTCTCACGATTTCTGTAGCAGTAACGTTTTCTGTCGAACGCTTATCCTCAGAAATTTAAATTTTAGTCAACTTTAAATTGTTGCTTTCTCTAGCTTCAACTTTCTCCACTTAACCTCTCTTATCTTCATGATGTAAACCATTGAAAAGTTAAGCTCATCCATCCGATTCGAATAAATTTAATGACGAAAAAATACACGTTTGAAGAAAAAACATTGAAAAACAATGAGTCGTATACTAGGTGTCCAATTTATACAGCCAGTACTTTAAAGCGATTGTGAAAATCAAAGACGATTACAATTAATTTGACCAGTTCAAAAATCTGTCAGATTGTGCCAGCCGTACGAAGCGAGCCTGCAGGCGTCATAAAAAGGCATTGAATGTATAGAGCTTTCCCGGGAGCTGATGTCACCGTACGTGTCACGGTCACGTATTGGAAGGTGTCAATGGTGAAGCGTGATACGAGAATCCAGTTGATCATTTTACGTATTCATTGTGTCGCGCATTCTGAAATGTTGCTTTCGTTACAGGTTCATATTTGTTCTTGCTTTAGAAACCCCAATTGGCTATACTAATAATATGCTATAATAATACTACATAGACGATCAATTTATTGACTGTAGTTCCTATAAAGTTGGTTCATAAGGCTCTAATCGCGTATCATTTGCTGTGAAGTATCCAGCACATATGATTGAGAAAACGTATGCGCAACATTTATTTTCTTAACTCGTATAAATTGAATTGCAAATATTCACGGTATTCAGCCTACTGATGATCACGGTATTCAGCCTACTGATGATCACGGTATTCAGCCTACTGATGATAACGGTATTTAGCCTGCGGATGAATTCGTTCGTGTTATCTCAGTGTAGTCAGTCCCTACAATCAAGCTTTAAAACTGTAAAAGAATCCACTGCGAAGCATGAATAATGACGAATCGTTCAATTCAAACTCATCATTTCATTTTCTGCGGAATAGTTCACGGGAGGGTGACTGCAGCTTTTTCCGCCTATGGGTTGATTTTCTTCACCCGCCGGCGCAAAGGAAAACAGTTTTTGTGGCGCGGAATGATTCCTCAATCCGGAGGAGCATCCTTCAGGAATATATCCACTCTAAAATTAGGATTGTATGTGCGTTAAGTTTTAGAGTTTAATGCCTTGAAAACCTTTAATGTTTCGGAACTCGATTGACAGCTCTTTATTATAGCAATGAATCCTATTATCTATTATTTAAATGTAGCAGAACTCAAGGCTTGATTTAATCGTACATAAATCAATATTAATAATATTATATTAAAAATATTAATAATAATCTAATATAATATGTATGACTATTATTAGATTACTTTAATAAATATATTTATTAAAATTTAAATATATAAATTTTGTTTTTCAAATTTTAAAATATAAATATCATAAAATTTTCTATATATTAAGATGAAAATACCGGATAAGAATTCGTAAGGAAATACATGCCATTATTGCGAACTGCATTCATTTGAATCGTCACGATTCAAATGAATGCAGTTCGCAATAATGGCATGTATTTCCTTACGAATTCTTATCCGGTATTTTCATCTTAATATATAGAAAATTTTATGATATTTATATTTTAAAATTATAGTTGCGTTCGCTTTCGCTTTCTCTGCGCGGAGTTGCTGACGATGTATGACAACTTGGCATAAGAACATCCCAATAACGTACGTTTGTCGCGCCACGCTCATTCTTTAAATTAAAAAAACGAAGCTGACGTGTACAAAGCCAGTATTTTTAGTCCGCTTTCTGTTGCGTGCGTGATAGTTCAGTGCATGCAACTGCAGATAAAGATTGACAATGTGTAATGCTTTCCTCTCATGAACAAAGTACTGCGATGTGCATGCAGATTCCGATAGAAATTATAGCAGTTTATGCTGGGGTGTGTAGATACATATCTTAATGAGGGAAAACTCCAAGTGGTCCAACACGCTTCCCTCGGACCCACTGCAAATTTTCTCTTGGTTGTAATTATGATGCTTTGAATAAAGAGAGAAGGAATTCACGTGACTGTACGTTTGTTTATTTTTACATAAATGAGATAATCAGGAGCTGCTGGTATTATCGCGATGGAGATGGACGCTGCTGGTCGATGCTAGATGCTGAAGAGAGTAAAGTTGTTTCTAAAGTATTTTTTATGATGTCCCTCTAAATAGTGGAAATTAATTTTGATGGTATTGCGGTAAAGTCTGTCGAGGAAGATAGAAGATTAATCGTTTGAACTCGTTTTAGGTTAAGGTTGCTTAGCGAACGACATGCGTTTATTTCATATCATTGTATGACTGGCATGGCCACGCATATATGTGTAGTATGGCTTTACGGCTATACAAATGAATATGTGTGGCATGAATGACAATGAAGCCAATACGCAATGAATGTGCAGTGTGACAATACGGCTAACGAATGATGTGTTTACGGGGACGATCGTTTGCCCTCAACCAAATAATTGTCACATACACTCCCGCGCCGCGAGCCCTAATGTACGGAGCGGTAAGAAAAGTAATTGAGCATAGGCTCATTCTATCCAACGGGTTATTGACGCCCGCTAAAAGTACACTCACGAATATTGAATTACTAACTTAATGATTAATAGCATGAAGAATTAAGTAAACATTAAATATAGGACGTGCAAAAGACGTAATCGAATAAAATGTACTACATATCCGTGGGCTATGTAGTATCCATAATACTGTTTATTGACGGCCCCATCTGTTTGACGTACTTGGTAGACTCACTTACGATTATTTTAAAATTTAATTAGATTTATAATAGCTGTTATTAATTTAGCTCACTTTTTTCGGCAGGTGATATGTGTCGTGTCAGGAGCAGCGCTCAGATCTTCAGCCATTGGCTTCAGTGATTTTAGTGCAATTCCAGACTACAGCTTATCGCAACCAGAAACAGGCCGGAGCCATGGTCGGTCTGAAGGACAATATATTCGCACCAGGCGCCGAATTCAGGGTGGACCACCAAGGAATTTCAGGCCACAAGATGTTTTTCAAATCGATGCGCCTAATTTGAATACACCAGACTCGCAGTTATTCCCAGATTCAAATCACAGAAATGTTCAGCCACTGGAAATGAGGAACCCTCCACGTTCTCAAGTGGACGAACTTAGAGTTCTTCCAATCCGAAATCCATTTGAGGAAGTAGCAGCGCAACGCAATCCTCTTTACGCGGCAAGTAGACCGACGGAGGAGATGCCAAGCTTCCAGAAATTGGAACCTATCCTCCATCAAAAGATACGGCCACCGGTAACCTACAGACTGCCAAGTGAACCTCATTATATCAGGTCTCCTGACGACACGCGTCCTGCAACAGTCCTCCGCTACCCTGGCGAGCCTTCACCTAACCAAGCTTCAGGGGCGTTTGAAATCTCGCCTAACGCGCAAGGGTACGAGCAAGATTCAGTTCGGTACCAGCCTCATCATGGCATACAGGGTACCAGGCAAAATCAGGAGTTCTTTGAAACTGATGACAACCGCGAGAAGAATCTGGGGGTTCAAGAAGGAGGGAAAAAACCTATCAGTGAACAAGAACGGGCTCAAATTTCTCAGCCTCATTTCGATGATTTCCTTAGAAAACAACAAGAAGAGTTGCAACTTTACCGAAGACTAAAATCGGAGAAACTAAGACAAGAGCAAGAAGCAGCAGAAGGCAAACGTAGTCAACAACAGCAACATCAAGAGGAGGAAAGATATTACCAGCCCCAACAACAGCACCAGTCGAAACAATATCAATACAAACAACATAAGCAACGACATCAACAGGAGGAGCCTCGCCATCAGGAACAATTGAAGGCGGTTAACTCTCCTCTGTTCTATGACGAAGTGGTCGGTGTGCAGCAGCCACCGAGGAACAGTGAACCAGAACTTGATGACTACCAAAACCCTGAACATTTCGCCTCTGTAGAAAAGATTAACGAAAAGCGCAAGATTGTTAAGAAGGAAACTCCTCGGCCAAGTCCCCACAGCTACAAGACAAGAGAACCAGTCGTCCTAAAACCAGTCTACTCCAAGGACCAGCCTCCCTCGTTTGAGGACCGATCCAACAACGGGAGGTTGTCCCACAACAACGAAGTGTTGGACCATCTGCCGGAGTACCAGGAGACCTTCGAGGTCTCGGGTGAGTCCAAAGAGAAGCGTCAGGCGCACCACGACGGGGGCTACATGGACAACAACGGTCTTGAGGTGAGTAGTAGCTTGTAGCTTCACTATGTGGCGGTGCAGAAACGGAGGATAAATTGCAATGAAATATTAATTTTATCAATAATTTGTTATGCTTATTTTTATTAATATTACCATTTAAATGGTAAATTTATCACATTAAATTCATCAAAACGTTTCACCCATTGGAGGCAAACAGTATCAGCGAGTCCTCGAGTACATCTATTCTTAAAATGTTGCTAATTAATTGTTTCATTGACAATTTGAATAGAGTTTCAAAATTAAATCAGGCTAAGCAAATTCATGTGTTCCATGTGGAGAATAATTGGATATTTTGTACGGTAGTTTGCAGCAGCGGCGTCGGCAGCGGAGCACGCACACGGCTCGGGAGACGGACGACTGACGTTCCAGCTGCACGGACAGAAAGGGCCGCACTCCTACCGCTTCGGCTTCGACACCGGCAAAGGGTACACTATAATTGACATTAACTCGCTGTATATATAACTGATAAGTCTTCCCTCATTTCCAGGACTAGTAATGGTAGACTATAATTGACCAATTTGCTCTATAAATAACTGACGTGTCTCCCTCCATCTACATTTGTTATGTATGCAATTAAAGTTCACAGTACCTGCAAATAGGCTCCATATTTTTGCATTTCAACAGCTATACTCTCGTGCTGTCTTGGCTTCAATCTTGAGAGCTCCGGAATTATTGGGCACATAAAATCTAGAGCGCAGATGCGATGTTAAATTTTTTTTATTGACTTTTCCGATCCAGAATAAATTCCGGGAAACTTTTTGCTCGAGATGAGAAAACATTTCCCACCGGCCGTATTCTTCCCACTGAACACTGGTGCTGGCGGTGAGCATACACTCCATTCCTCCCTTTCGTTTCCTCTATCTTTACATTCCAATTCCACCCCTATTTCATCCCTCTCCTTCCCATTCCATCTCATTTTCCCCACCATTTCATACTTTTGCGCTCCATTAATTCCATTTTTCCACCGCATTCTCCCCGCCAGACCGCACCGGCAGTTCCGGTACGAGGAGCGTGACAACCACGGCGCCGTGAAGGGCCGCTACGGCTACTACGACAGTCACGGCAAATTACAGATGTACAACTACTCCGCCCACCCTGAGCACGGGTACGAGGCAGCCCCTGCACACTGACGTGGGCATGTGTATGGGACGCAGGCACGTATACGAGGCAGCGGCTGACAACACGTTATTTATTATAACACAATACTATGCAACACAGACACGGCGATCGAGTGATGCGTAAAACAAGTCCCAAGTCCCCCGTTCAGAAAAAAAAGAGTGGGACTTGTTGTCTAAAGAGTGAATCTTTTTTAACCCAAAGCAGTAGCTGCAAGTATTTGCACGTTTTAATAATTTCTCTGTGTGAAATATGTAACAACGATATTTCCCAGCACATACGAATCAGCATTGGCCATTGCCACGAATTTAATTACAATAATTCACAGACGTGCAATTAACTTAGTTGAGATTTTCTTAATACTCAAGACTGGGTTACTTATTATCGCATCAAATTGTGTATGTATTGTTGTTCATTGATATTTATTGTTCTGACTGTACATATTGTTGTTGTTTTTAGTTTAGTGTAAGCCAATTCGACCTATAAAGAGCTTCGACATTTTCAAATAAACGGTGTAACATTAAACTAAATTAATGAATCACCTACGTTAGTGTTGATGAAAAAAAAGTAAGACAAGTGATAATGTATTGATTGGCAACAAATGATGAGCAAGCAAACATTCGTTAAATATGTAAGCTCGTTGTACGCAATTCAAATAAATGCACCGGCGAGGCTGAAGACATTTTCGCTGTGGCAACATCGAGTTTTTGTAGACCACATAATACATGAGATGTTACAAGAAATCTCGTTTTTAATACCTGCGCTACAAGGCTTAAAGCGTCTTTAAAAGTCTTATTTACCATCATTAGCATCAAAAACCTGCAGCGCATTGGAAATTGAGTGAAACAAGCAGGACATTTCAAGTTCATTTGGAAACCGTTGAACATTTGTCACAGTTCGGTTCTTCAAGTATCTTGTAGAAATGTCTAAGGTTATCATCCTAGGGCACATCTATGGAGATAAAAACTTAAACCACTTGTGACTAAACGAGAAACACTCAACGTGGTTCATGTAGCACTTTTGAGATCATATACAATATATACATAATATTATATACACATTAACACTAAATCAGGGCACTATAAAGTAAAGACTAACAAAGAGATAAAAGCAGTTGCACGGAATGCCGAGTGAATTCATACCAGTTTATAAAAAATGTGTGTACGTAGAGTTCTAAAGCATTAAAATTTTGTGTGAATTGTTGTTTTCCGTATTTGGGTCCTGTTAATAATTCTGAAGCAGAACTACACAACGGGTAGAACAGAACAATTTCCAAGGTTAAACACTATAACGCCTTATGACTTACCAATAGCCATTGAACCCCGAAATATTCCAAAAAATCAAATTGTTTTGAGCGCCACTATTACTCTGAATCACATGGAAATTGACATTAAAAAAATTGTATGAACTAATAGAAAATTGTAAATTTTTGTAACATGTAAGTCAACCTTAAAAATTAAATTAAAGATGCGTCATTTATGACACGATATGCCATCAAACTACGCTTGAATAGTGCACTACATCACACATCGTCTAGAGTACAGAACAAGCAGCACACTTGAAAATTTTGTAATGAGTTTTTGGTGCAGCCTTGTGTTTTTGTGTTTATTAATTATAATTCATAGTAGCTGCACAAGGAGACATGATGTTAATACGTTAAATGCGAACAAGTATAAATTCTAATCCCAAGTTATCGCACAATGAGCTAATATGAAACTTACCGAACTAAATAAATAAGAAGTACAAACAAAAAAGTACATATATAGGTACTTTTAAAAGTACATATACTTTCCTATTGCATACCTTTTAATATAATTACCAACAGACTAGTTAAATTATAACAAATACGCAGTAAGTTATTCACTGCGGGCTGGAGAGAGTTGACAGCCGTCATAGATGGCTGATCTGAACGTCTTTTGATCAGACACGAATAACAGAACTTTTACTATCTAGTGCAGCAGTAAAAAAAAAAACATTACAAGCCTCGTAAGATATACAGGAAAATTCACTACAGTCACTTGAAAATAGCCTTATCTGAAGCCGCATGTTTTCGAGGTGATCATAAAAAACGCATTCAAGTCACCTGACGTCCAAATCCTGGGTGTCATTTAACGAGGCCCGCAAGAGTAATAATCCGCAGGCAGATGGTAACGTAAATATGCGAGATCTTGGTGTGATGAATCTTGAATCACACATGTATAAAAATATCATGATCTCTCGTCAACAATAAAACACAAATCTTTGAGTGAATACGGAATAATCAATCAAGTATCAAAAATCAATTAGGAAAGTATTGTTGAATTAACAAAACAAAATATTCGTAAATAGTAATTTCTACTGAATTGAGTAAATACTAGTACATTATCTGGAAATTATTTCATTTAATGAGGTGAGTTTAAAACATATTTCCAAAACTTGTGGGCATAGCATAACTGTATCACAACTGTTCTAGATTGAGCGTTTTCTACCTTTACTGTTTCCACCTTCATAGTTCAATCTCGTGGCAGCGAGCCTACTTGGCATATACTTTGTTCCCTTAATACATAGTTTTTGTAGCTCGAATTAAAGTGATTTAGAAGACTTCAAGTCATCATTAAACCTAAAGTGACAGCCTTCCAAATACAGAAAGGAACTCGAGTCCAGTGACTCGCACGCGGTATCACTTATGGCTTGGTGATTGGCGGGAGCGGGGCGCTGAGCTGGACGTGCCACAGCAAGAGCCACACGGGCAAGAGGCACCAGCACGCCGCTGGGTACACCCAGTTGCCGTAGACGTACGAGTCCACGACGCTGTACATGAGCGCCCTCTTGCTCACCGTCACACAGCGCATTAGTAGCGCCAGGGGCGGCTCGTTGGGGAAGTTCAGCACTGCGTCTACTGACGCAAATGTGGCCGTCAGCGTCAGCGGGTGGATCGCCAGCAGCAGCAGACATTTCAACCAGCGAACAAGTCTGTGTGTGCAAGACACGTGAATACAATAAACAACGGTTCAGAGATTAGGCATGAGGTAATTTGAACATGAGAATTTAAATTTATAAATTTGAGATTAGAAAAAGTGAAAATTTATTAAATGATCTTAAAATTTACGATACCCATGCCATCGACTGCCCGATTGTCTACTTGAAAGCTATGAGGAGAAGCACATTAGGTGCCACCGCCACGCCTCATACGATACCTCGAGATCTGACTCTCCGCGCCAAAAACAGCACGACAAAAACCAAGCAAGAAATAAACAAGCACACATGCAGACCACTGCGGATATTGGTTTGTGTCAAGGGGTTCAAAATTCGAGACGACCGGGNGGGGGGGGGGGGAGTAGGGAATATCGTTCAAATGGTTCAGTGGCTACTAATGTGCACTTAATTGCACCATAAAAATCAGGGGTGCATTGGTGAAGGGCAGTGGTACATCGTTCATATACATAGTACGGTGGCAGATTCCATGTAGTCAGAGCATAGGAGGCGCAGTAGATATTTCCGAAGCAAACACCAATGCATCATTGAGTGGATTCTGTGAGGCCACTACAGGATTAGTTATACAAATGAACTGTTATATAGGTGCTCAATTTACGGCTCAAAAGTATCTGCTTATAGATCTAGCGCCCAATAGACGAGTTTTAGTGAAAAACACTAGCTCCTAAAAGACGAACGTCATGAAAACGTGCTTGTGAGTTTTAGGAGAAACTGAGCTTGTGAGGCAAGTTTTAGTGAAAAACAATACGAAATGACTATCATAATAATATTTGAAGAAGAGGAGGCTGTATCGTTTCTGACTGTATTAGACAACGGGAAAGTTGAGATGTTGGGTCTTTCTATGCGTGTTACCTAATAAAGCTTCCTTGTGGCACAACACCAAGTGTTGGCATGAGTTATCGAGACGCTCACATCCGAAATCCGACACTGAAATAACGCTGATTAAACGTTATTTAAAAATATAACTCAGTACTCACTGCAGTGAGTGACAGAGAGTGCATTTTCTCGTCGCCGAAAACTTGAGGTCACGGACGGACGGACGGACGGACGGACAGACGGACGGACGGACAGACAGACAGGCGGACATGGCGAGCATAATAGTGAATTTTTTCCATAAATGAGAAAATGCGCTAAAAGCGTTATCAACGTAGTTCCAACGTCAAGAGCCTTGAAGTGGTGCGCGGTCATTCAGTTTCGTTTACCATACAGTGGTCGCGTGGGTTACGTACGTTGCAATCTATGCGTACGAAAATTGACCGTAACAAAACCGAAAGAAAACGCAGCCGGTCTGAGGCCGTACTATCAAAACTTGCTCAAGTACATGTAGCGGCCTAAGTTCACATAGCAGCCGATTTCTCGTCTGTGATTGGTGCGTCTAGCTTGAAAAAGCATTAGTAATTGGCTGACGGAGTCACGAACTCGTAACTATATTTTTGATATTACGGCCCTAGGTCAGTTCTTATTAGGCGACCGCTGTAGGGTTAAGGCGTTACCTGGAGCTGGTGGGGGCGACCGCGATGACGACGGGAGCGTAGACGGCGGTCACGATGAGGGCGAGGCTGAAGTTGAGCAGCGACCCCGCGAAGACGATCACTGCGAGCTCCAGCTGCACGGCACACTTCACCACCTGCCAGCTGCAACCTGTTATGCTCCTGCAATGATGGGTGTTATCAACTACAGGGAATATTAGAGGCATTATCAACAACAGGCAATAACAAAGACAATTTCAACAAGAGGCAATACCAAAGGCATTTTCAACAACAGGCAACAATAAAGGTATTATCAACAACAGGCAATATCAAAGGCTACATCATTCCCTGCAACGTCAGGCATTATCATCCTGAATGTAAGCGAGTTACCACAACAAACTAAATAGATGTCCAGTCACCCTTGGGTTCGGAAAATGAAGTAGAAAATGTTGTCAAGAAGCGCTTCATAACAATACCGACCAATCATGTCAGACGCTTGATTTTTCGATTTTCAATTGTCATTCATTGCACACTTAAAATATTTAGGATAAAATATCCTTCAGAAACAACATAAATACTAACAACATGCAAAAAACTATAGCTTTTTCTCAACACTAAGAGATATGCGATAACTATTGTCTATATAATGATGCATTTTTTGCCATCGTTTGACATCGTGACCTAGTTTAGTTCAACAAAATGCGTATCAGTGCTACGTCTGCTCTCTGCTTATGCTGTAAGACACAATTTACACAAATAAACCACTAATTTTTCTGATTGAACGCTATCTGTGAGCGCAGCCCTGACCGGGTAAGCGCGGACGGCAGGCGCAGGAGTACAAGCGCAAGCGCCAGGCTGCCGAGAGCGACGCTGTCGTCGGCGTGCAGCGCCACCACGGCGCCCGTCCTGGACGCCACCGTGGGCCACCAGCTCGCCACGGCACCTGCGCTGTGGCACACCAATGCCACGCACGCAAGCGACACCAAACTCTGCGTGCCACTCTGCAACACAAAATTAGGTACTCACAATTGAATTCGCTGTTGAACATCAGTTACTCATATGCCGTCATTATTAATTAAATCTTAGCCACTCATATCCCACTTTTAGAATGCAACATGAATATAGGTACACTGAAACAATACAGGATGGTGTATATATAGTCCACAAACCTAAAAATTCCACTCCAGGTGACTACAAACTAAAAATTATCAGAAGAGACATCACTTATTCTCCATAAAAACTCAAGTCGTTGGTGTTTATTATTAGCAAAAATGGTGCATGCTTCAATGGACTTCAATAAATTTTTTAATACAAATAATAAAAACAAACAATATGCGCGCTGGAATACAGATGCCGTAAGCACAAACACCAACTTACATCAGTGACGGGTGTGCTGCTTGTATCTGGTATCGCTGCATTAGTTTGCTCGCGTGTTTCGGTTAGCTTCTCGTCACTCTGAGTTTCGCTTGACTCTTTCTCGTCGGGTTGGTCGGAGGCAGGCTGCTCCGCCTGTAGGAGCTGCAGGCGCAAGCAGGAGCTGCACCACAGCGACAGCGCGCCCAGCAACAGGCATGAGCCCATCGCCCCAAACGCTGGCATGTACACGCCTGAAAAACGAACAGGATTGTCATGAAACAAAACTGTTCCACCAACAACGGAATATTTAAATTTAAGTATATAAGAGAATACTAGCAATGCTTGGATCCTAAATGTTCTGTATCAATTTTCAATACTATATCTGTTATCAGAAGGCAGAAGCAGTGACGCTAACTAAGGAGATGTAGCACGGGGTGGTGGCGGGTAGGAGGTTACAATACCTGTGGAGATGTAGCAACAGGTGGTGGCGGGCAGGAGGTTACACTACCTATGGATATGTAGCAATAGGTGGTGGCGGGCAGGAGGTTACACTACCTATGGAGATGTAACGTGAGGTGGCGGGCAGGAGGTTACACTACCTATGGAGATGTAACGTGAGGTGGCGGGCAGGAGGTTACACTACCTATGGAGATGTAGCAATAGGTGGTGGCGGGCAGGAGGTTACACTACCTATGGAGATGTAACGTGAGGTGGCGGGCAGGAGGTTACACTACCTATGGAGATGTAACGTGAGGTGGCGGGCAGGAGGTTACACTACCTATGGAGATGTAGCGCGAGGTGGCGGGCAGGAGGTAGAAGAAGAAGCTCTGATGGAACCTCTCGAGGAGATTGTTTAAAGAGCGGCAGGTGCCTTCTAGCACGCGGCCGAGGTGCAGTAGCGTGGCCCTTCTGCCCCCGGCGCGCCCCACGCGCTCTCCGGAAACCGTCACGGCCGAGATGCCGTACCTGCACCAAGGGCACGTCAGTAAGGGCATGACGTGCCTACACCCACGTCAGCAAGGCGACAAGCAAAGTAGAACAAAGTGTCGCACAGCAAGATTGAGCAATAACAAATCGAATTATTTAAACATAGAGACTGATGAGTTAGAAGGCTTCAAGGAAAAGCTTGTAAAAAAGCTCTATCGCGCAAATATTCATGATGTTCCAATACGGGGAAGTAGTCTAAGCTCATTAATAGCATAATGGAGTAGTCTAAGCTCACTTAGCTCATAAGTCATAATGGACCTAAATTGCTACTTATTATTTTAGATGAAATTATTTATACAAGCTGAAGGATATAGAATATCATTTAAATGATACTCAGTTACTCCCAAGCATTGAAATGTTTGCAGTTAAGTACATACGCTGCCACAGTGAATGCGCTGCTTTTTTCTTAATCTAAAGCAAGAATATTATATATATACGTCAGTAGAAATTCATTTAGTTTGTGGGTGAGCTCGAATGATTCACTGCTCATGTAGGCTTTTAATTTTACCTTCGTCAAGCTGCACTAACTTCCCTTATCTTCGAGCAGAAGATAAGGGAAGTATGTTTAAGTATGAATTTGTTTTAATTCCACTTAATTTCATTCTGTTCCAACGTAAGGACTGTCAGCTTTTTGATAGTGTGTTGTGGCGTGTAACATCTTATATCCTGTTGGCTAATTCTTGTGAGCGCACCACAGATTATAATCATGAAGAAAATTATAACCATAAATTACACTAAATAAAATAGATCACCGGCATATTATTCATTCAGAATGATTATGATGAAACCAGTTGCAAAAAGTCTCAAGTTTTGTTCCTGACTCAACAAAATTTGCCTTGACTCAAGCGATGCTATTGTAAAAAAAAATCTGAGTTGTGTTGAAAAATATAAGAAAGTTGTTTAATGTTGATTATCATCATCATGCACCATGCATCATATTTAAGAAATTGTACCTATCGGTCTGTTCACTTTGGAACGAGCAAGATACCGACCACTTGCTCTGTTCTTGGATAAATCAAATCAACCATCACAACTAAACTCGGCCATTTCGCAATATTTTCAAGTTAACCATTTCTATATAAAACTCTATAGATAGAAAAAATATAACTCAGTACTCACTGCAGTGAATGACAGAGAGCACAGTTTCTCGTCGACAAAAACTTGAGGTCACGGACGGACGGACAGACAGACGGACATGGCGAGCACAATAAAGCATTTTTTCCATAAATGAGAAAATGCGCTAAAAATGTTTAGGTTACCGATGGAAGAGGCCATGGTTGCCGCTGGGGACTCCCGTGGCCTGCGTGGCGATGGAGCTGAGGAGCGTGTGGAGCTGGTGCAGCCACCCCGACGCTGTGTCGGGCTTGCGGTGATCAGCCTGCCGGAGAAATGGTGTACAGGTATAGGTGATCGATATATTGTCTTTAATTTAGTTAAGTAATGACTGAATAACCCTTAATTCAAACAAGTGAGGGATTAATTATCTCCTCAACCGCATTATTCATTAGGCAGTTCCAGCTGCAGGAAAAGTGGTTTAGGGCGAAGCAAGTAAGTGCTGAATTACATCTAATTCAGGTAAGTAATGGCTGGAATAATATAATTACAATATTCAACTACACCTCAAAAACCCCAGCCATTACCTACCCCTCAAAACACCAGCCACTACACCTCAAAACATACTACGTCGTCGAGAACCGGGGCACTACGTCGAGAACCGGGGCACTACGTCGAGAACCGGGGCACTACGTCGAGAACCGGGGCACTACGTCGAGAACCGGGGCACTACGTCGAGATCCGGGAATCAAATGTCGAGTACAGAGACACTACCGACCAGCACCAACCCTGTTCCTGACGGTGTGCTCGACGCTCTCCCTGTGGCAGAGGCGGTGCAGCAGGTTCACCAGGTCCAGGTTGGGCAGCTGGCCGTTGAGGCCCTCGTAGCGAATGTCCACGTGAGACACAAAACTTTCCGGGATCTCCAAGTTGACTGCCGCCTGGACACAAAACATTCATCAGATATTGAACTCGGTGATGAGTGATGACACAAAATTATTAACAAGAATTACGTTTGCTAACTTAATACCGTACTCAATTGGCAAGAAATGATAATGTGAATAGCAACAACCACACTTGGATTCAACACTTGAGAATGGCATAAATCATAATGCATTTCGATTTGACATCACATCAATATTATATAATAAAGCAAGGGAGCACTTCATGCCCAATACAAGTTACGTTATCATCGAACTAATTTCAAAATGCTGACCTGATCAGTTGCACTTTAACAGCAAGATACTTATACAATTATCTTGAGCACTACCTAAACGTATAAGTAAATTTCGCTTTATTAACTGTAACATTATAGATTCAAAATAGAGCACAAGTGATCATTTTCAATGACATTTTTTTCAATAAAGAAAGAATGAATTTGAATTTCATCTTCAAAATAAGTTATAGGTTGAACTTTATATTATATTGACTAAGGAAACAGCATATCTTAAAATAAATCCAAGTTGATAATACAATGTTAACTATATAATGACGTCACCTCCTGGTCCACAGAACAGATTGGATGCAATGTTACTGTAAGGGGAGGGGTCATGAGAGGATGAATGTATGAAACATTCATCAGCACTCTGGGGTATTGCATGCACTGATACTGTAGGGAAGGTCATGAGAGGATGAATGGATGAAGCAATCATCAGCACTCTGGGATAAGAATTAAAATAAGATGGAATAATCATCGAGGCATTCACCTGGATGGGTCCCGCTCTGGCGATAAGTTTTCCGAAGTCGAGGACAGGCGGAGACTGCGGCAGAGAGCCGTGGTAGCTCTGCAGCCAGGCTTCCATGCCCAGCTGCTCGTGTTCTGTCACCAGGAAAATGATGTCTTTGGCCCAGTACAGTTGTTCTGTTTGCAAGAATCATGTGGCAGGTAACATATATGCTTCCTTTTCATCTAGGTATATATTACGGAGGTATGTAATTAATATCATATCACGGATAATCTTGGAAAAAATTGTACTTATCTTCATAAATAAAATGCAGATGTTGCAAAAAAAAGTTGAGTCTAACACACTTCAGAATTCATATACGTTAGCACTTTCAGATAAAGATAACAGAAATCACTAATTACGCTACTGAAATTATTTCTGACTGAAATCAACTTCATATATATTGATTTTTTCAAGTGTCTCAAGTGCCACATATATACAAGAAGAATCAATCACCAACGATAGTGCATGCATTTTTCATGCAATTAGTATGTACAAACGAGTTTTTTTCAATGAATGAGTACTAAGGAGGTGCGGACCAGAGAAAATATAAGCAAGCATGAGAGCAATGGGCACAAATAAGTTTATTATGCGAGTAGCAAATACATATTTTCTCCAACATTAAATAGGAACGGACCAGAGAAAAAGTGCGCAAGAGCAAGCATGAGGGCGATGGCTGGGGCGTTGCCGAGATGCGGTGACCGCGGCGCGCGGTATGGGGCGCTGAGCACGATGCTCTCTGAGCTGCTGCCACGCACAGCACGCAGTATGCCGTACACGTTGTTGCCGGTGAAGCTCTGCAGGCACAGATACAAGGTAAAGTCACATATACAGGGTAAACTTTCTGTTGTTAGGGTCAGCACCCATGATACGCAAACATAGCCTGTATCGAAGCTCTGCAGTCACATATACAAGGTAAACCTTCTGCTGCTGTTGGGGGCATCACCCATGATACGCAAACATAGCCTGTATCGTAGCTCTGCAGTCACATATACAAGGTAAACCTTCTGCTGCTGTTGTTAGGGTCAGCACCCATGATACGCAAACATAGCCTGTATCTTAGCTCTGCAGTCACATATACAAGGTAAACCTTCTGCTGTTGTTGGGGTCAGCACCCATGATATGCTAACATAGCCTGTATCATAGCTCTGCAGTCACATATACAAGGTAAACCTTCTGCTGCTGTTGTTAGGGTCAGCTGCCATGACACGCAAATAAAGCTTGTATCATGATGTGGCTTGTAACTAAAATGAAATTTAAAATAGAAACGGATAAGCGTCAAATAGATATCTCAATAATTTAATAATTATATTATACAATAATTTACATAAGGTAAACCTTCTGCTGCTGTTAGAGTAAGCCATCATGATATGCAAACATAGCCTGTATCATGATGTGGGTTGTAAATAGCACGGAATTTGGAATAGAAAAGAAAGTGCATCAAACCGAGGACTCACTCACACTTTCCAACAAATATCTCAATAATTTGTGTAGGATGAGGCAGTAGTAAATCATAAATAAAAACATGTTATTTAATAATCAAATGGGAAATAATTCTGTTACAGATTGATCTGGTTATTACTAATGCACTAAACTATAACTTCATTCTAATCTGTACCTCACCAGTAATAATAAAATTGAAAAAAAAACACTCAGAAATCACTCATAGTTTAGGTGCAGCACACCTTATTGGCAGCCATTGGGTAGTGGAGAGTGAAGTTGTGGGTGTAAGTATCCAGACCAAGCTGCGTCATCTTTGCCTGCAGCCAAGCATGTGGCATGGTGCTAGGGTACTTCTCCGTCTCTTTGTTCAGCTCCTGCTCAAAATGTGCATACTGTGATGCTAAATTCTCACAAGTTAAATTGATTCCATTTATGCAAACAATATGGAGCTTTTGTGAGTAGCACTCTATAAAAATATAATATAAAAACAAATTGGAAAATAAGGCTTTATTATTAAAATCCCCTTCATTCCTTCTTGATTACCATGGAAATAGTATCATTTAAAAAAGTTTTTTGACAGACATCTTACTTCTTCCCAACCAACAAATATTGTCTCAATCCAATGGTATGGTATTGCTGCAATAACTTCTGATAAACAATAAAATTATTTCAGCTCAAGTTTTATGAATAATTAGATATATCATTAATATATATGAGCAAAGTATGCCACACAAAAACTTGTTAACAAATTGGAAAAAAAGGAATAATCAAATTTTTTGAAGGTTGGTACTCTAAACATTCAGCACTGACCTGCAAGAACCTGTTGGCTTTAGCTTCTCCCATAAACTCCCCATGAACCAGTCCAGGAAGAAGTGCATTTTCTGAGAAATAGGTTTCTGCCAGAAACAAAGAAAGAATTAACTGGTGTCATGAAATGAAAAGTTATTGAATTGATGTACCGTGCCATACATAACTTAAGATAAAATAAAAACTCAAAGGACTACTTGTATTTCTGCAGAAAATTGAATATATCTACTTTTGATATGGCGACATGGTAGCAAGAAAAATGAGTACAAGCCTCCCAACAATTTGCAGCAAATGAAGTCAATTACTGATTATAAATGAAAAATATATGCACCAACACAAAAGTTATTTAGTTATAAATATCCATGGAACAATGGAACTAAACATACAAGTTTTAATCGACAAATTTATTATGGATATTAACAGACATTACTAAAGTTCTAAGCAAATAAAAATAAAATGTGTTAAACAAAATGTCAAGAAATAAACAAAAATCACTGTTAAGTAAGTAGGAAACCCCCAATTTCTCTTTTCCATAAACTCTGGCTAGGTTTATACAAAGTATGGATATATTTGTCACATAGGAGGGAACTATTTAATAAACTACAGTTCATATAAGAATGGTGGAAAAGAATAGCTATCAAACAGGGGCATAGCACATACCATGGTTCATGGAGTTGTGAGCAAGAGCCAGGAACCAAATTGCCCCAACGCAGTACAGCAGCACAGATAAAATCTTCTCATGAGCCAGCAAAACATTGCTCAGCCATCCACCTTCCATGCCAGGGTCAGTGAGGAGACCCATAATTCAATACTTCTGAAAAATTTTCTGCAGATTAGGAAAAAAATTAATATTACAATACAAGCGAGCTAGTGTGAAATCCTTAAATTACAAATATAATGGTAGCCTAGATGTTGCCTCTATTTTTTAAACAATGAAAATCATAGCCAAGAGTCTCAACTACAATTTGGGGTCCATGCATGAGGTCAGAATTAATTTACATAAATGTAAAAGGACATTGAGAGGAAGCATATCAACAAATGATGAAAGAATTTCCCTTGTTTTGATGCCTATTACTGTTCAGACATGGTGTTACATGACAACATGGTTCAGACAAACCCATTATATCCTAATAAATCTAATCGGAATAAATTCTGTTAGTAATTTATAAATTCACAATTGATAATGTCATATTAAAAAAAATCAAAACAATTTTTTCAAATGTCTAACTACTGCAAGTGCTTGGAACTTGGGAAAGTACAATTAGTGTTGCAGTGTTGCTTGCTTTAGCGACATAAATTTATTGCAGTGCAGCCAGTATCAGTCCACTGTGCAGTCTGGCAATTTTGTAGTCATGATAAAATTTTTAGGTCTGATGTTTTGTCAGTATTATTATGGTTTTGTTGCCAGAACTACATACTCCCTAATCCTTTACCAATTTTCGTTGCTAAACAGGTGTATAAAGATGCACATGTTATTGCATCGGGCAGAAGCCTCCAGTAAATTAGACAGAAATGCAGTTTTCCCAATTTCATCTGTGAAAAAATTACCTATTTTTACTATTTTGAAGATCACATAGTGAAGATTGTTTCTAGAGGCCTCCATTGTCATCTATGGAGGGAATATGAGAAGAGGAGTGGGGGGGGAGGAAGTGTGTGGAAACAAGGAGTCATTCACGGCCTTCACAGCCTTTCACTAACCTGTGCCAATTCATTCAGGAACCCAAAAATTATTTATATGTAACTTTGAGGCTATGAAAGTTACACACATGCCAATGAAAGACCTGCATGCTGTAAATATTTTGTCACACACATAGAAATAATATCCAGCACAAGTATAAGTATAATATCCAGCAGGTATAATATCCAGCACTTCGGCATAATATCCAGGCCCAGTGGTTAAAGTTCAGAGTACCAAAATTGATGCACTAGCAAGGCGCGGGTTTGATCCCAGCTCTGTGCGCCAGTTTCTGGTCAGAATCGGCAAGGAGGCCGGGCGGTTAAGCACAGCAGAATTGTAGCAGTGAGTTGCCAGTTTGAGACCTCAAAAAGCTGTGAATGTTCTGCGATGTTAAGAATTGGCAACAGGCCTTCAGCCTAATAAACGCTGAAACTGCTATTATTATTATTAAAGAGGAGTGTCTACCCTAAATTTTATCTCAGTAATTTAAAGAGGGATCAATTCGAAATTTGGTACACATGTGTAAACCCTAAAAAAAACTCAAGTTTTAATCATGTTAATTTTTTGAAAAAATTGAAAGAAAATGTGAAATTCTTAGAAAACGGCCAAATAGGGGTACCGTAAAATGGGGTAACTTAGACCGGCGGGGTAACTTAGACCACTTTTGGTTTTTTTAACAGAAACTCCCAAAACTCAAAAACTATTTGACATAGAAAAATTTTGTCAGTGGGCATTAAAGGCCTACTACTGAGGCTACATAACACAATAGAAAGATTTAAAAAGTTTGCATATCTAATAGGTTAAAAAATTAAAAATGTGACCCTTGAAAAAAAGCTGTTATTTAAAGCTGGTCAGAGTACCCCCTCCAATTTTTTTCATTTATTTGTTAAATAACTCCAGGTTTCGATGCATTGTAGTAGAACTCTTCTAGTTACATATGCAAATGACAAATTTTAGGAAAGTGTCATAGTTTGCAAATGGGGGGCACCACCCCCAAATGGGGGAACTTAAACCACCTAATGTCAGCCCTGATGGGGTTACATAGACCGGCTTGGAAGTTAATATAAAATTACCATATATAACATATTTTATGTTTGACAGCCTATTTATGTTTTTTCTTTATGTTTCATACTCTACAGAGTCTTATATGTGGTAATTTTAACTTAATTTCCAAGCCAGTCAATATTACCCCATCAGGGCTGCCATTAGGTAGTCACATTTCCCTCATTATGGGGCGGTGCCCCCCATTTGCAAACTATGACACTTTCCTCAAGT